TGAACGGGCCAGGCGGCTGGTCGCCGCGTTCGCGTCGGACGACAATGCCGGCAAGGGCGTCATCGCGTTCGAAGGATCGATGGCCGAGCTTTTGCATCTGAAACAGGCCGAGCGGCTGCTCGCGCGCGCCGCTGCGGCCGCACAAAGGGAACGGAGTGAGAGCCCATGAAAGCCTATCGATTGCTGACCGGATTTGACGATTCCGCCTTTTGCCACAAGGTGACCGAGGCGCTGAGCAAGGGATGGGAGCTTTGCGGCGACCCGGTCTATGCATTCGACCCCGTTGCCGCGCAGATGCGGTGCGGGCAGGCGGTGACCAAGGACGTGCCGGGCCACGACTACGATCCGGTGCTGAAACTGGGCAATCTGTGACCGACGCGGCGTCTGCTCTGTGGCATCATGCCGGCCGTTTCAGCCTCGTGATGGTCCTTGCCTGGGCGCTGGGCGTCTGGACGGGATCAAACGCCGAGGCGCAGCCGCAATGTGCCCTGTCGCTGGTTCTGGCCGTCGATGTCTCGTCGAGCGTCGATGAGCGCGACTACCGGCTGCAGATGGACGGTCTGGCCAATGCGCTGCGCGACGAGACGGTGCGCCGCGCGATCGTGCAGGTCGGCGGCATACAGGTGACGGCCTTCGAATGGAGCGGCCGCCGCCAGCAGGTCGAGATCGTTCCCTGGACCTATCTGGCAAGCGATGGTGCGGTTTTCGCGCTCGCCGACCGGCTGCAGGCGCATCGCCGGCGCCACACCGCGTTTCCAACCGCGCTCGGCTATGCGCTGGGCCATGCGGCCGGCCGATTCGGGGCGGCCCCGCTGCGCTGCGTCCGCCATGTCATCGACGTCTCGGGCGATGGCGTCAACAATGAAGGGTTCGGCCCCGGCCCTGCCTATGCCAACTTCCCGTTCGATGGTGTGCAGGTCAATGCTCTGGTGATTGCCGGGGCCGACCCCGATCCCGTCGCCTACTACCGCAACGAGGTGCTGTTCGGACCGGGCGCCTTCATGGAGGTGGCCAACGGATTTGCCGATTTCCAAGCCGCGATGAAGCGCAAGCTGCTGCGCGAGATCGTCGGCGGCGCCTTGTCCGGCCTGAAATGAGGTAGCTTCGTTTCAGCCCGCCGATGCCTCGATATGGGCCATGTCGTCGTCGGAAAGACCAAAATGGTGGCCGAGTTCATGGATCAGGACATGGGTGACGATGTCACCCAGCGTTTCGTCGTTCTCGGCCCAATAGTCGAGGATCGCCCGGCGATAGAGGGTGATCCGGTTGGCTTGATCCCCGGTTGCCGGGTTCCACAGTTCGGCGATGCCGCGGCCCTCGAACAGGCCCAAAAGGTCGAACGGCGTCTCAAGCCCCAGATCGTCGGCGATCTCTTCGGTCGGATACTCGGCGATGCGGATCTGCACATCGCCGGTCAGGGCACGAAACTCGGCAGGTAGATGGGCATAGGCCTCGCGCGCAATCTGCTCGACTTCGGCCAGGCCCGGCGCGAAGCGATCCTTCCAGTCTGTCGTGGGGTCATAAATGCCCATGGCGCCGCCGGTTACACCCAACACTGCTCGGTTGCGGAAAACTTCATATATGCAGACGGGAAGCATTTGGGAAGATGAGCGTCCGCCGGGTGCTGCCGGCGCACAAATGAGGAAGGCGGTCGCCTAAGCTCCCGCCCCCCTGCATTTTCCGGGTCCGAACCGGCCTTTCGGCCTGCCCGCCTCGCGGCGGTCGGCATCCGTGCCGGCCGTCCCGCAGAACCGGAATGCCCGATCGCGAGGATCAACCCTTCCGCACCGCTCCGACTTTGCCCGAAGGCTCCACCGGATGTATTTTATTCGCGCCCTAGCTGGCGCTAGGAATTCATGTCCGAGGACACGACAACCAGTCGGAATTGCTTGGGACTTGCATCCGCAATCAACCCCTCGACTTCCACCCGAAAGCAAAAGCCGCCAAGTCCCGAAGGACTGGAACAATCGATCCGCATTCCTTTGAAAGATCACTTCCCGATTGCCTGTATGAATACTCTCGCAACAGGAGTTGTATGTCGAGTCCGGCGCATTTCGGGGATGTGGACGGCTGTGCAAAACCCGGCGCGGGTGACCATCGTCTTTTGAATTCAACGATCTGCGCCGCCGCCCTCTGTGGACAGATCAGCCGGTCTTGCGCGCCGGCACGGGCTGATCGGTATCTGAACCGATCGCTGCCGCGCGATCATTGATGGTTTCGCGCACCGCTTCCCAAAGAAGCGAGAAGGACTGGAAGCCCTCGTCGGTCACCTCGTCGGTATCCAGCGCGCGGACCACCGTATGAAGAACGGCGTTCAGTTCGTCTTTCAGCGTGGACAGTTCGGCACGGTCGGCGGCTTTCGCCGCCCGCTCCTGAATGTCGAGCAGCTGGTAATTGTAGACATCGGCGCGATTCTTCTGGTTGGCGACGAAACGTGACCGGAGCGCCAACATGCCCGAGATCAGTCCCGTCATGATCATTACGAGCAACGCCAGAGGCTCGGCGTTTTCCTGAACGAAGCTCGGCTCATCCCGGTTGAAGAACGCCTCGGCCCCTTCATGCAAAGGCACAGAAAGGCCGCGTGTCGTGTCGGGCGCGGTGATGGCCGAGGCCAGCGCGAAGCGGATCGTCAAGTCCATCCGGTGTTCGAACAGGATGCGGGTCAGTTCGCGGACCGCCGCAGCATCCACATCGGAGCGGGTGACAAGAACGCGCGCGACGCTCAGCGTCGGAGTGCGGCTGGTCGGGACCGGCAATGCGCCCGTCAAACCGCCCATCGGTACCGCGGCGGGAGCCAGAAACGGTCGTTTGACGGCGATCGCATCGGCCTGTCGTATCGGGATGTAGCGCAGTTTCAGGCCGGTGAGCTGGGCATCCTCGAACATGCGGATCAATTGCCGGTCGCGCATCGACCGGACCGCGAAAAGCGCGTCGACATCGCCGCGCAGCAGCCTGCCGGCGCCATCGACGAACGGTTCGGCCGTCCAGTCCAGATCGCCGATCGGCAGGTCGTAATGGTCGCCGACGACCCAGAAGGAGCGAAAATTGGCCGTGTCGAAATCCGGGATCGAAACGCTGATGCGGTCAAGATCGTGGATTGAATAGGCGGACACGTCATCCCGGACGATCAGGTGAAACAGGTCCGGATAGAGATGGGCGATACCCCGAATGTCGGTGAAGACAGGTGTGTCGGCGCGGATCACCGCCGCATCTATGCGCTTGGCGTTCAGGAGCGCGATGTTCTGCGAGGCGTCGCGGGAAGTTACGACATCGAGGCGGAGCGTTTCGGAATGCCGTTCGATGACCTCGGCGGTCTCGCGCATCAGCGTGTGGGCATCCGAGCCCGCGGGACCGGTCGCCACGGTGAGCACGGCCGGGGCGGGATCGTGGTTGATCCACTGCCATGTCAGCAACAGGGCGCCGGCGATGACGGCGACGCTGAAAAAGGCGGCGCGCCGGACAAGCCGTTGGCGGCGCGAGCGAATGTTGGCCGACGTCACGGTTGGCTGTTTCTCGGCAGCGGGCCGTTGGAGATTGCTCGGATCGCCCCTGGTCATCGACCGGCCCCGAGCCGTCTCAGGTGCCGCGGTCGCGCGCGGCAAGCGTGCGCAGGCGCAAGGCGTTCAGTCGGATGAAACCGGCCGCGTCCTTCTGGTCGTAGGCGCCACGATCGTCCTCGAAGGTCACGAGCGCGTCGTCGTAGAGCGAAGCGTCGGACTTCCTGCCGGTGACGATCACATTGCCCTTGTAGAGCTTGAGACGGACCGTGCCCTCCACGCGCGTCTGGCTTTCGTCTATCGCAGCCTGCAGCATGGCGCGTTCCGGTGAGAACCAGAAACCGTTATAGATCAGCTCCGCATAGCGCGGCATCAATTCGTCTTTGAGATGGGCGGCGCCCCGATCGAGCGTCACCGATTCGATGGCGCGGTGCGCGGCCAGCAGGATCGTGCCGCCGGGCGTTTCATAGACGCCGCGCGACTTCATGCCGACGAAGCGGTTCTCAACCAGATCGATGCGGCCGATCCCGTTGTCGCGACCCAGATCGTTGAGCGCCGCGAGCAGTGTCGCCGGGCTCATGGCCGCGCCATTGAGCGCGACGGCGTCTCCCGTTTCGAAGGTTATTTCGATATCGGTCGGCCGGTCCGGCGCGTCCATCGGCGAGACCGAACGCATATGGACATATTCGGGCGGCTCGGCCCAAGGGTCTTCGAGCACCTTGCCCTCGGAGGAGGAGTGCAGAAGATTGGCATCGACCGAGAAGGGCGCCTCGCCCTGCTTGTCCTTGGGCACCGGAATCTGGTGCTTTTCGGCAAAGTCGATCAGATCGGTGCGCGACTTGAAGGCCCAGTCGCGCCACGGCGCGATGACCTTGATGTCCGGATCAAGCGCGTAGGCGGACAATTCGAAGCGGACCTGGTCGTTGCCCTTGCCGGTTGCGCCATGGGCGATGGCGTCCGCGCCGGTTTCTTCGGCGATCTCGACCAGCCGCTTGGAAATCAGCGGTCGTGCGATCGACGTGCCGAGAAGATAGACGCCCTCATAGACCGCGTTGGCCCGGAACATGGGGAAGACGAAGTCGCGCACGAACTCCTCGCGCAGATCCTCGATGTAGATCTCGCGGATGCCGAGCATTTCGGCCTTGCGGCGCGCCGGTTCGAGTTCGTCGCCCTGGCCGAGATCGGCGGTGAAGGTGACCACCTCGGCGCCCAGCTCGGTCTGCAGCCATTTGAGGATGATCGAGGTGTCCAGCCCGCCAGAATAAGCGAGCACCACCTTGTTGATGTTCTTCAGGTCGATGGACATGGAAGTTCCGTGAAAAGTGCGATGGTCGGCGGCGCCTTGCGTGCCGGCGCGCACCATATTGGGTTTCCGTCGGGGCGCAAGTTCGCCGAAGGGGGAAATCCGGCGGCTCGGCTCCGGTCCCTGTTGCAAGTTCCGGGTTGCTTTGCGGGCTGGTCCGGCCTTGAATGCCGCGCCGGATCAACCAAGATTGACGACCGATGAGCGATTTCATACCCGATGCGACCATCCTGGTGCAGTTCGCGCTGGCCGCGGTCGTCCTGGCGATCACGCCGGGGCCGGACATGGCGCTCTATGTCGGCCGGGCGATCACTCATTCGCGCGCGGCGGGACTGGCCTGTTTTGCCGGCGCGGTGACCGGCATTCTGGTGCACACCATGCTCGTGGCGCTGGGCCTTTCCGCCTTGCTGGTGGCGGCGCCGACGGCGTTCCTGGTGCTGAAGGTGATCGGCGCCGTCTATCTGATCTGGCTTGCATGGCAGGCGATCCGGCACGGTTCGTCATTCTCGCCCCGTACAGGAAAGAACGCCCGGGCGGGATCGTTGGTGGGCCACTATCTCACCGGTATCGGCATCAACATCCTCAATCCCAAGATCGCATTGTTCTTTTTGACGTTCCTGCCGCAGTTCGTTTCGGCGAACGACCCGCATGCGCCGGGCAAACTGCTTTTTCTCGGCCTTTTCTTTCTCGCGGTCGCCATTCCGATCATCTTGCCGATGATCTTCGCCGCCGACCGGTTCGCCGCCGCGCTGCGCGCCCGGCCGCGCGTCACCCGCACATTCGACTGGCTGTTTGCCGGCGTGTTCGGCGCATTTGCGGTGAAGATCCTGACGGCGCAGGCGCGCTGACCGGAACCGCCCGAGGCGGCCTGTTTCCATCACGGTTCGGGCGCACTATTGCTGGCACAGGCGCAAAAGGCGATTCGCGAGCGGTGCGGTTTGATCAGATTTGACAATGTGGGATTGCGCTACGGGCTGGAGCCGGAGGTTTTGTCCGATGTGTCGTTTCACATTCCGGCGCAGTCCTTCCAGTTCCTGACCGGTCCGTCCGGTGCGGGAAAGACCTCCCTGTTGCGCCTGTTGTTCATGTCGCTGCGGCCGACGCGCGGCCAGATCACCTTGTTCGGCAAGGACGTGCTGTCGCTCGACCGCCGCGAGATGCCTATGCTGCGGCGCCGGATCGGTGTCGTGTTCCAGGACTTCCGGCTTCTGAGCCACATGACGATCTTCGAAAACGTCGCCTTGCCGCTGCGGGTGCGCGGCAAGGAAGTGGCCAGCTACCGGCGCGATGTGAGCGAACTGCTTGACTGGGTCGGGCTGGGCGACAAGCTCAATGCGCTGCCGCCGGTGCTGTCGGGTGGTGAAAAGCAGCGCGTGGCCATTGCCCGCGCACTGATCGACCAGCCCGAAATCCTGCTCGCCGACGAGCCGACCGGCAATGTGGATCCGCCCATGGCACGGCGACTTCTGCGTCTGTTCATCGAGCTCAACCGCTCGGGCACGGCGGTGGTCATCGCCACCCATGACCTTGGCCTTATGGAACAGGTGGATGCGCGGCGGATGATCCTCTCCAACGGGCATCTGGATGTGTTCGGATGAGCGATCAGGACCACAGGTCGCCGCCGGCCTCGCCGATCGTACCGCCGGGCAACATTGCCGGCCAGGCGATGGCGCTGGTCGTTGCGATCATGTCCTTCCTCGCCTGCCTGACCGTCGGCGGCGTCTCACTGGTCGGCCAGAGCGCGGCGACCTGGCAAAGCCAGATTTCGCGCGAGGCGACGGTTCAAATCCGGCCTGCGCGCGACTTCGACATCGAGACCGCGCTGGCCGAGGCGCAAGCGATCGCAGCCGATTATGAAGGGGTGCGCTCGGCGCGCATCATCGGCCGGGAGGAAACGCTGGGGCTGCTGGAGCCGTGGCTGGGCAGCGGGCTGGGACTTGACGAACTGCCGGTGCCGCGCCTCGTCGTCATCACCATCGACGAGACGGCGCCGCCGGATTTTGCCGCTATGCGAGCGGCGATCACGGAAGCCGTGCCCAATGCGACGCTGGACGATCACCGGGCCTGGGTGGGACGGCTTGTGGCGATGGCGCGCACAACGACACTGGCCGGCCTCGCTGTCCTGGCCCTGGTGATGGCCGCGTTGGTCATGACCGTCGTCTTTGCCACGCGCGGCGCGCTGGCCGGCAATCACGAGGTCATAGAGGTTCTGCACTTTGTCGGCGCGCGCGCCGGGTTCATCGCGCGGCAATTCGAGCGCCGCTTTCTGGTCATCGGCTTGCAGGGCGCGGCCGCCGGCGGTGCCGCGGCGGTGGCGGTCTTTCTCGTCACGGGATTTTGGGCGAGCCGAAATCTGACCAGCGCCGAGAACGAGCAGTTGTCCGCCTTTTTCGGCGATTTCTCGATGGGCGCCATCGCCTATGTCGGCGTGGCCCTGGTGGTGGTTCTGGTCGGCGCGCTGACCATGGTAACCACCCGCGTCACGGTTCTGCGGGTTCTCTACGAGATCGACGAGAAACGCGCCGATCCGTCGCTTTGAAGCCGCTCCGGTGCCGGCAGAGGTCCGACATGGCGGCAAAATGCCGGTGATGGCGTGTGTCGGGGGGCCTTGGCGATGGTTTTTGGTCTACCGCACGCCGCAATTGCCCACTAGGATTCGACACATGTCGGAAAGCGAACACATCGACAAGGCGGCCGGCGTGCTCGAGCGCCGGGCGAGCCGCGGTGCCGGGCGCCTGTACCGCGTGCGCGACTTCCTTGTTGCCATGGCGGCTTTGGCGCTGATCGCCACCGTGGTCGGCTTCTTCATTTTTGCCGCGCGTGTCGGCGGGCAGACCGAGAACCCGCCCGCTGGGGTCTCTGCCGATGCGATCGTCGTCCTGACGGGCGGCCGGGCGCGATTGGAGCCGGCCGTGACGCTGCTGCGCGAACAGCGCGGTGCAAGGCTTCTGATCAGCGGAGTCGATGCGGACATCAGCGATGTCACGCTGCGGCGCACGTTGGATATCGACGCCGATCTCTTCGAATGCTGCATCGACATCGATCGAGAGGCGCTGGACACGGAGGGCAATGCCAGGAGCAGTGCCGCATGGGCCCAGCGGAACGGCTACGCCAGCCTGATCGTCGTGACCAACGACTATCACGTGCCGCGCTCGATGCTTGAGATGCGGAACGCCCTGCCCGACGTCGAGATCGTGGCTTATCCGGTCGTCAACATGAAGCCGGAGACGGTCGATCTGGCGGCATCGATGGACCGCTACCGGGTGCTGCTCGGCGAATACGCCAAATATCTGGTGGCACGGGCGCGAACCCTTTCCTTCTAGCCGTCATGCGGGTTAAGAGGGCAATCGCCCGCCGTGCCGCCATCGGTTCCGCAAGGTTCGCCCCGTGCTCGTCATCCGGTCCCTTCTGTTCAACCTGGCCTTCTACGCGAACAATGTCGTCCAGATGATCTTCTGGACGCCGTTCTATTTTCTCGGCCCGCGCAGCTTTGCATGGTGGATCGTCCGCTTCTGGTCGCGGACCCATCTGTGGCTGATGAAGGTCATCGCCGGCACCGATCACATTGTGCGCGGGCGCGAGAAACTGCCCGAGGGAGGCTACATCATCGCCCCGAAGCACCAGTCGGCCTGGGACACGATCGCCTTCCTGCCCTGGTGGCCGGACCCGATCTACATTCTCAAACGGCAATTGATGTGGATCCCGCTGTTCGGTTGGTACATTGCGCGCATGAAGATGATCGCCATCGATCGCGGCAATCGCGAACAGGCGATCCGGTCGATCAATGCCAGCGCGCAGCAGGCCGTCGATGACGGGCGCCAGATCATCATCTATCCGGAAGGCACGCGCCGGCCGCCGGGCGCCGAGCCTTCCTACAAGAGCGGCATTGCCCATATTTACGAGAAGCTTGACGTGCCGGTGGTGCCCATTGCCCACATGGCCGGGCTCTACTGGCCGCGGCGCAAGTTTCTGCGCCATCCGGGCCTGATCGAGGTCGAGGTGCTCGATCCGATCCCGCCGGGTCTTTCGCGGTCCGCCTTCATGGCCGAACTGGAACGGCGCACCGAGGAGGCATGCGACCGGCTTCTGCTGCGCGCCGTCGAAGGGCCCAACCCGCCGCCCTTGCCGCCGACGGCCCAGGCCCGGCTCGATGCGATCAAGGCGCGGCGGGCCGCCGATCCAGACGCTGCCTGATGCCGTCGGCAACCGCTTCGATCCAACGGTCGCGAATGCCCATCTCGCGCATGTGCGCGGCGGTGTTCAGCACATAGTCTTCGTTCGGCCCGGCCTGTCCGACCGCGCCGCACACCCGGTCGATCGCTTCCGCGACACTCAGCCGGCCGGCATATTGCTCATGGGTGCGGTCGGCGACATAGGTGACCGCTTCGGCGGCCTGACCATCCGAAAGCACGATGCGGCTGCGCCGCTCCTTGTAGACATGGGTGATCAGTTCGCGCTCGCGCAGATAGGACATCACCGTGTCTTCATCATCCGGCATCACGCGAAAGGCGACACCGACGCAGGCGCCACCCCGGTCCAGCCCCATGACCAGGCCCGGCCGTTCGCGCGTACCGCGATGTTCGAAGGAACGGATGCAAAGGCTCCGGTGATAGCCGACCAGCCGGGCGCGCCGGCTTTCGGCGAAGGAAAAGCCGGGCCGCCACATCAATGACGCATAGCCGAATATCCACAATTGGTTCATAAGCGCCGCGTTCGTTTCGTCGTTCGCGAAGGAAGGTTGCAGCTAGCATGAGCGGAGCCGTGAAAAAACCGTCTTACAATGCCGGGCGGCGGATTGGCTGGCTGATGACCGCTGTCATTGCCGCCATCGTCCTCTACTCCGCCGGCTGGTTCTGGGCGGCGGACATGGTCGACCGGACGGTGACCGCGTCGGCCAATGACGAGCGCGCATCGCTGCGCTTTTCCTGCCCCGGACAGGATGTGCGCGGCTTTCCGTTCCGGATCGGCGTCTTCTGCGACGCCTTTGAGGTGGCTGCGGCGGACGGGTCCTTTGTGGCCAGCGGCGGCGCGGTTCGCTCGGCGGCTCAGGTCTACGATCCGCGCCGCGTGGTTGCGGAAATCGACAGTCCCGTCACCATCTACGACGCGGCGGGGACGGCCTACCGACTCGACTGGTCGGTCGGGCGGATCAATGCGGCGACTGCGCCGGTGAACGAACGGATGGTGGCGTTCGAGGCAGACGATATCCGTGTCGGCCTCGATGGGATCGGCGAGCTGGCGCGGGCTGACCGCCTGGGGCTCTATGTTCGCGAACAGGGAGCCGCCATGGACGTGGCGATGCGTCCGCGCGCGCTGACCATCGACCCTGCTCTGGTCGGCGGGCGCGCTCTTCCGCCGGTCGGGCTCGATATCGATCTGCGGCTTGAGGACTGGGCATCCACATGGTCAGCCGGTCCGGTCGCCGCCGGGAGCGGTATGATCAACCGTGTGGCGCTGCTTCTGACCGACGATCGCGGCGTGATCGTGGAGGGGCCGTTCCGCCTGTCGCCGGACGGTCTGATCAGCGGCGATTTCTCGGTCAGGGTCGTCGATGTGCCCGGCGTGCTCGCTGCCGCGCGCGACATCGTTCCGGAGCTTGCGCCGCAGATCGAGACGCTTGCTGCTGCCGCGCCCCGGCAGGCATCGATGCCCGATGACGAACTGTCGCTGTCATTCACCGTGCGCGAAGGCCGTGTCTTTGCGGGGTTCCTGCCGCTCGGCCGTATCCCGCCGGTTCGGCTCGACCTGTCTTCAGGTCTGTGACTCGCCGCGCTTTGCGCTCTGGCGGCCGAAGTTGGGCACTTCCACATCCTGGCCGGCCTCGATGATCGACTTGCGGACGTGCCGGGTGCGCGTGAACAGGTCGAACAGCTTGTCGCCGTCGGCCCAGCGGATCGCCCGCTGCATCGATGCCAAATCCTCGGAAAAGCGCGCCAGCATCTCGAGGATCGCTTCCTTGTTGTGCAGGCAGACATCGCGCCACATGGTCGGGTCGGATGCGGCAAGGCGCGTGAAGTCGCGGAAGCCGGACGCGGAATATTTGATGACTTCGGATTCGGTGACCGTCTCCAGATCGGAGGCGGTGCCGACGATGTTGTAGCTGATCAGTTGCGGCAGATGCGAGACGACCGCCAGAACGCGGTCGTGATGGTCCGGGTCCATTTCGTCGAGATCGGAGCCGCAGGCGCGCCAGAACGCCTTGAGTTTGTCGAGCGCTGCGGCATCGGTATCCGGCAGCGGCGTCAAGATGCACCAGCGATCCTCGAACAGCGCCGCAAAACCGGAATCGGGGCCAGAATACTCGGTGCCGGCGATCGGATGGCCTGGAATGAAGTGCACGCCATAGGGCACGTGTGGCGCCATCTGGTCGATGACCGACCGTTTTGTGGACCCGACGTCGGTGACGATGGCGCCAGGCTTGAGCGCGCCGGCGATGGCTTGGGCGACGGTGCCCGACGCGCCGACCGGAACCGAGACGATGACGAGGTCGGCGCCCTCGACCGCTTCGGCCGCGTCGGTGTGATAGCTGTCGCCCAGCCCAAGCTCCTCGGCCCGCCGCAGTGTCGAAGCGCTGCGTGTTGAGATCGCGATATGATCCGCCAGCTTTTCCCTGCGGACCACGCGGGCCAGCGACGAGCCGATCAGGCCGATGCCGACCAGCGCGATCCGGCCGAACATGGGTTTGGTCTGGTCGGTCATCGCTAACGCTTCATGAAGGCGGTCAGCGCCTCGATCACGCCCTTATTGGCCTCATCGGTGCCGATCGTCATGCGCAGCGCGTTTGGCAGGCCGTAGGGAACGACCTGGCGCAGCACGTAGCCGCGCTGGACGAGCCAGGCATCGGCTGCTGCCGCGCTGCGGTCCGGATCGTCGTCGGGGAAGTGGATGAGCACGAAATTGCCAACGCTGGGCGTGACCTTCAGGCCGAGGGCCTCGAACGCTTCGGTCAGTTTCGGCAACCATGTGTCGTTATGCGCAATGGCCTTGTCGACATGGGCGCGGTCGGCGATCGCCGCTGCCCCGGCAGCGATGGCCGGAGCGTTTACGTTGAACGGGCCGCGCACGCGGTTGAGCGCGTCGACGATCTCCGCAGGTCCGTAGAGCCAGCCAATGCGCAGGGCGGCAAGGCCGTGGATCTTGGAGAAGGTCCGCGTCATCACGACATTGCGGTTGGCCGAGACCAACTCGATTCCCGACGCATAGTCGTTGCGCCGGACATATTCGGCATAGGCCGCATCGAGCACGAGGACGACATGCGGCGGCAGTCCCGCATGAAGACGCCGGACTTCAGCGTCGGAGAGGTAGGTGCCCGTCGGGTTGTTCGGATTGGCCAGAAAGACGATTTTCGTTCGCTCGGTGACGGCGGCAAGAATGGTGTCCACGTCGGCGCGGTGATCGGTCTCCCGCACGACCACGGGCGTGCCGCCGGCGGCCAGGATCTGGATTTTGTAGACGAGGAACCCGTGTTCGGTGAAAATGCCCTCGTCGCCCGGGCCGATATAGGTCGATGCCAGAAGGCCGAGAAGTTCATCCGAGCCGTTGGAGCATACGATGTTGTCCGGGTTGAGCCCGTGCACGTTGGCGATGGCCGTGCGCAGCGCGGCGGCAGACCCGTCGGGATAGATCTGCAGAGTGTCGGCCGCCTGCCTGTAGGCCTCGATGGCCGCAGGGCTCGCGCCGAGCGGTGTCTCGTTGGACGATAGCTTGTGCAGCCTGACGCCGGGTGCGGCCTTGTCTCGGCCCGGCACATAGGCGGCGATTTGCATTACGCCATCATTGGGTTGCGGTATCGAGCGGTCCGTTTGGGTCATGCTGAACTGTCCATGGCTTGCGCGGGCGCGAAATAGCCCCCGGCGGCGCGTATGTCGAGCAGATCGTGCGGCGCGCTGCCTCCTGCTGGTATCGCGATCAGGCAGCGCTGACCCTCGCTGCCGTGCCCGATGACCTCGCCGCCGGTCCATCGATCAAGCGAGTCGACGCTTTTCAGGAGCCCGGTGTAGAGCCGCAGGTCGAACGGGACGGGGTCCGACAGGGGCGGCGACAGAACGAATGAATCGACGGTCGGAAACGGCACGTCCGCAGCCGGAAGGCGCGCCATCACCGACAGCCCGCCCGACGAATCGAGCCCGTCCCACCAGGCGCCCGCGCCTTCGAGCGGCACGATGACGAGCGCGTTCCGTTCAGCCATCGCCGCGTCCATAGCACCCGCCGCATCCTCGTGTTCCTCCATTGCGACCGTGAAACCGAACTGGAACCGCGCCATGTCGCGCATCGTTGCGGGTTCGGCGCCGCCGACCAGATGCACGCGATAGGGTGCCTGAAGCCAGGTGAAGGTCGAGATGATCTCGCGCCAGACATGGACGATCATCGACAGCGGCACCGAGCCGGAATGTCGTTCGGCGAGAACGCGCATCATCTGCGCCTCGCGGCCGGGCCGGAAGGCGGCGCCCTTGGCCTGATCGGCGCCCTTGATGCGGATCAGTTCGTCGATCACGCCGGCGCGCTGCATCAGGAGTGCATGCATGGATTCGTCGACCGCGTCGATCTTGGCGCGCAGTTCGGTCAGGCGCTGTGGATTGGGAGGCGCATCAGCCATGTTTGGTCGGTCTCGTCATATTGCGCCGTCTTAGTCGCGCGGCCCGGCAATTGCAAAACGGTGCCAGCCATTGGCGTCGCGGCCAGCAACCGAGCCCTGCGGCGCCAAAGCCGGAACGAAGACGCGGCGCGACTGGCGCTCGGCCACCGGCAGACCCTGATAAAGGCGCTTCTGGGCCTCGATGACCAGCACGCCGCCAAAGACCGGCCAAAGCCGCAGGCCCCATGCCTCGAGCCGGGTCGACAGTCGAAGCGCGAGAAACCGGCGCGACGGCGGAAAGAACAGCGCTTCGGTTTCCGCCGTCATGGTGAAGTTGGCATCGCGCAGCAGCTTGACGAGCTGGCCGCGCGAAAACGGGCGGCCATTGCCGAACGGGGTCTGCTCGATCTGCGCCCAGACGCCGCGCCGATTGGGCACGACAATGAGGAGCCGTCCGTTCGGTGCCAGAACGCGCCATATCTCCATCAGGGTCTCGCGCGGATTTTCGGCATGTTCGAGCGCGTGGACCAGCAGCATCCGGTCGATCGAGGAATCGGGCAGGGGCAGTTCCTCGTCGAAGACGAGCGCGGTCCTTGACGGTCCGGTGCGAGGCCAGCGTGCCGCACCCTGGGCCGCAAGCATGAAGGCAAGCGTGCGTTCGGTGTCGGGCGCGAAACGATCCAGCCATGGCCGGGTGTGGCCGAGACCGACGAGCCGCTCATTGGGCATCGGCTTCCAGATGCGCGACAGGGCCAGTCCGATGGCGCGGCTGGCGCGCTTGCCCAGCGCCGAATGGTAGAAGGCGCGCAGTTCGACAATGTCGGTATGCATGGTTCGGCGCGACCCCTCGCATTGACGCGGCGCCAGAAAACCGCATTTGTGCGGCCAGGGCAACGCGGATCGGAAGGACATGCATCATGATCGAGATCGAACAGTTTACCTGTCTGTCCGACAATTTCGGCGTTCTGCTGCATGACGCGGAGACCGGGCGGACGGTTTCGATCGATGCGCCGGAAGCGGCGGCGATCCAAGCCGCCCTTTCGCGGCGCGGCTGGAAACTGACCGACATTGTGGTCACACACAAGCATTTCGATCACATTGACGGCCTCAAACCGCTCAAGGACGCGTATGGCTGCACCATTGCCGGCCCCAAAGCCGAGGCGGACGCGATCGGCATGCTCGACGAGCAATTGGCCGAAGGCGATGTCTACGAGGCCGGGTCCATGACGTTTTCGGTGATCGAAACGCCGGGCCATACGCTGGGCCAAATCAACTACCACTGCCCGCAGGCCAATGCGCTTTTTGCCGGTGATACGCTGTTTTCGCTGGGATGCGGTCGGCTGTTCGAGGGCAGCGCCGGCGACATGTTCGCTTCGCTTGAAAAGCTCAAGGCCCTGCCGCCGCAGACGCATCTTTACTGCGGTCACGAATACACGCGGTCGAATGCGGCTTTCGCGCTGTCGGTCGACCCGGACAATGATGCGCTGAAAGTCCGCGCCGATCAGGTGGAGGCGCTACGTGCCGAGGGCTTGCCGACGCTGCCGGTCACGCTGGAGCGCGAACTTGCCACCAACCCGTTCCTGCGAACCGGCGATGCCGGCATTCGCGCGCATCTGGGCATGATGGACGCCGACGATGTGGCCGTCTTCGCCGAATTGCGGGCGCGCAAGGATCGCTTCTGATGGACCATCTTTCCGCTGCCGACATCCGCGCGCTTCTCGGCATGCAGCCGCATCCGGAAGGCGGCCATTTCGTCGAGACGTTCCGCGACGCGGTTTCGCACGGATATGGCGCGCGTGGCGCATCGACCGCCATTTATTTCCTGCTCGAGGCGGGCGATGTCTCGCATTGGCATCGCGTCCTGGATGCTGCGGAGGTCTGGCATTTCTATACCGGCGCGCCGCTGGTGATCACGCTGTCCCCGAATGGTCATGACGCCGAGGCGCACCGGCTGGGCATCAATCTGGCGCTGGGCAAGCGGCCGCAGATCGTGGTTCCGGCGGGATGGTGGCAGACGGCCACATCGCTCGGCGCGTGGACGCTTGTCGGCTGCACCGTCGCTCCGGGCTTCGATTTTGCCACTTTCGAGATGGCGCCGCCGGACTGGCGGCCCACGCCGCGGCCTGCCGCCGGATCAGACAAACGCTGAAACAAGCGCGAACTGAGCGGCGACGTAGAGCACCCAGATCGCCGGTCCGGTGAAGGCGCGCCTTGCCTCGTCGTCGGGCGCGATCACAAACTTCTCCATGCCGAGTATCGCATCGGACGCCATGAACAGCACGGCGCCCGCAATGACGAGCCAGGACCCCGTCAGCAGCGCCGTCAGGCCCATCGCGAGGATGGCTCCGACATAGGCCATGACCGGCCAGCGCAGCGGGCCCGCATGGCGAAACAGGATCCGACCCAGGATGAGCGCCACGCCGACCATCATGACCGCAATCAGCCAGGAAAAGGCCGGCAGGCCGCCGAAGCGGGTTTGCGCGAACAGCAAGACGTAGATCACATGCCCGGCCAGAAAGGCGATCAGCCCCGAGAGGAATGCAGGATCAGCCGAACCGTCATCATCCGTGGCGGGCCGGGCGAAGGCCAGGAGCAGATCGCCGGCGGCGCTGTGCACGAGCGCGGCCACCAGAAGGACCGGTGCTCCGGCCAGCGCGGCGACGATGGCGAACAAGGAGACGGGCACGGTTTTGACAATGGCGCGCGCCAGGGTGCGGCGGCCAACCGGCATGAACAGATAGGCGACGGCGAACGCCAAGGCGGCAGCGAACAGGCCTTGCGTCATGGCACAGTCCGCCGGCCGATGGTCGAAAGGGCGGCGAGCAGGGCACCGGCGGTGATCAGAACGCAGGCAACCAGAACCGCCCAGCCGGCCTCGGCCCGGCCGGCGGCGATGAGAATGAGCGTCGACAGGAGCGGAGCGGCATAGCTTGAGGTGCCGACGAGCTGTATGTCGCCATGCTTGACGCCGTAATCCCAGACGTAGAAGGCCGCGCCGACCGGCAATAGGCCGAGACCGATGACGGCCAGCCATTGGGTCGCATCGAGCGGCCAGACGGCGGTTTCACGTTCAAGCAGCCACCAACCGAGTGTCGAAAGCAGCGCGGCAACGGCGCAAAAGACGATCACGGCGGATGACGGCACGGCGGCGAAGCGCCGTGCGACCAGCGAATAGCCGGCCCATGTGAACGCGGCGGCAACGGCAAGCGCATAGCCGCCAGCAAATTCGGGATTGACGGCGAGTGACGTGCCGCGCGTGACGATCAGCGCGGCCCCGGTAAAGCCCAGAAGCGCGCCGGCCATGTGATACCAACGCAGCCGTTCGCCGGGCAGAAGCGCGCTGCCGACGACGATCAGAAGCGGCCAGAGATAGGCGATCAGGCTCGCCTCGACGGCCGGCGCCGCCTTCAGGGCGGCGAAATAAAGAGCGTGATAACCGAACAAGCCGATGCTGCCGAGGCCATAGGCGAGCCATTGGCCGTCCGCCGGCCACAATCTTTGCCGCCCGCGGCGCGATGCGTGCCACAAGAGGCCGACAAGCGTGCCGACCGCAAAGCTGATGGCCGCGGTCTGGAACGGCGGCATGGCGCCCGTCGCATCGGTGAGAAGCGCCAGAAAACCCCACATGACCACCGCCAGAAACCCGGCCAGCGTCGCCAGATTGCGATGCCGGGATGAAGCAGGTCGGGTCGTTGGGCTGGCTGCGTCCATGCCCCGCCGTTTCGGGGCGGGCGGTCAGTTTGTCAATTGTTCAAAGCGCGTCGCGGTGACATTGACGGTGGCCCCGTCGATCTTCACCCGCGCCTTGACCGGCGCAAAAAGGCCCGTCTGGCCGACCGGTGCGAAGCTGATCTCGATGCGGCCCTTGTCGCGCATCCAGTTGATCTCGCGCTTGGAGCGGTTGAAACCGGCGATCGGAACGAATTGGGCCCGACAGGTAACGGCATCGCCGCTGTAGCCGGTGGCCGAGAACGGGATGGTGCGCAGATAGCTCATCTTGAGATCGGCGCGCAGGGCGCCCGAGAAGGTGCTGATGGTGCGGGCGCAGACCTGCCGCAGGGACGGCGCCGGAACCAGCATGGCGCCGATCGGATCGAGAACCCCCGACAATTGCGCCGGCGTCGGTTCGATCCAGTCATCGCCCTTTGTGACGGCGGGCGTGTTGCTGGCCGAGGTGACCCTGCCGCCGGAAAAGGCGATCAACGTGCGCTTGTCGCGCCCATTGTCGGTGTAGCGGACATCGAATTTGCCGGACTGGACTGTGCCGCCCCCAATCGCACCGGAAGCGTTGAGCGTGCCTGCCGTGGTGGTGAACAGCCGCGCCACGCCGCGCGCCCGCATCGTCGCGTTCACCGTGTAGCTGCTGCCATCGATGGTCGACTGGAAGCTTGTAGAGGCGATGCGAAGGCCGAAGGCCGATACGGAATATTCCGATGCGTAATTGGCAGCCCGGGCGTGATTTGCGTTGATTGTTGTGACCGCCAAGACGGCCAATGCGGCGGAGACGATGCGTCGCATGAATGTGGTCCCGTTCCTTTACTGTCCCTTCGGCCTTGCTGGGTCAGCAATGAGCCGATTGTGTGGACGGATATGGCCCCGGCCGGCTGAACGGCGGCTGAACGAACGGCATTGACGGCCAGCCGCGCAAACACTATAGAGCGGCGACTTTTCCGCAATGCGCCAGGTCCATTGCCGCGTCCGGTTTCCGGAATTGGGGCGTCTGGGCCGTTTTGCGCTGACGGATCCGACAATTGCAAGACGATCGAAGGTGAATGCCATGTCGCGCGCATGTGAACTGACGAACAAGGCGGTCATGGCCGGCAACAATGTCAGCCACGCCAACAACAAGACCCGCCGCCGTTTCCTGCCCAATCTGTGCCAGGTGACGCTGATGAGTGAGACGCTGGGCGAAAAGTTCCGCCTGCGCGTTTCTGCAGCCGCCCTGCGCTCTGTGGAGCATCGCGGCGGGCTCGATGCCTATCTCGCCAAGGCAAAAACCGCCGAACTGTCGCAGCGCGCGCGCCTGATCAAGCGCCGCATCGCGCAGAAGCAGGCCGAAGGCGCCCAGGCGTAACGCGTCACTCCATCGCCGGCCCGTCCCGGGCCGGTCTCATCTGCAACTGGTGGCATCACCCAGGATAAAAAAATGCGCTCTTTTCCGCTCGTTCCGACGCTCGGCTTCGTTTCCGCCATGTGCGCGGTGGTTGCCGCATCAAACTATCTCGTCCAGTTTCCCGTTCAGGTGACGGTTGGCGGCTACGATTTCGCCGATCTTCTGACATGGGGTGCGTTCACCTATCCGGTGGCGTTCCTGGTGACCGATCTGACCAATCGCCGGTTTGGCCCGTCCGCTGCGCGCACCGTTGTGTTCGCCGGTTTTGCGCTCGCAGTCGCCCTTTCGGTCGTTCTGGCGACGCCGCGCATCGCGGTCGCATCGGGCACCGCATTTTTGACCGCGCAACTGCTCGATGTGTCGATCTTCGACCGGCTGCGGGCGCAGGCATGGTGGCGCGCTCCACTGGCCTCTTCCGTGATCGGGTCGGTTCTCGACACGCTGATCTTCTTCACGCTGGCGTTTGCGCCTGCGTTCGCCGTACTGGGCGCCAACGACGCGTTCGCGATCGAAACGTCGTCGCTGCTTGGCCTGTTTGCCGCAGAGGCGCCGCGATGGGTGTCCTGGGCGCTGGGCGATCTGGGCGTCAAGCTGCTGGTCGCGCTGGCGATGCTGGTGCCCTACGGCCTGCTGCTGAACGTCAGCCGCCCACGGCATCTGCCGGCGGCGTGAGATAGCGGAACTCGATCAGAAGGTTGCGCTGCAGGATCGAGTGATTGTCGTCCGAGACGATGGTCAGGCGCGGCACGCCGTCGGCGTCCTGGGTAATCGCCAGCCCTTCCATGTTGTCGATCTGGTACCGCATGTCGGCTTCCAGAAGGACCTCGCCATCGACCGTGGCACGGGCGGTTATTGCGGCATCATCGATCCGGCGCAACCGCATTGCGACGCCGTCGCGCACATTGAAGCGGCGTTCGAGCAGGATCAGATCGCCGTCGGGCAGAAAATCGATGTCCGTGACGTAGAAATCGTCCCGTTTTGCGACGGAAAACTCGAACGGCTCACCTGTTCCCGGGCTCGCAAAAGCCATGATATTGCCGGCCGCATCGAGGCTGTTTTCGGTTACGCCGATCAGGGCTCCGGCAAGCGCGCTTGCCTCCGTGCCGATGGCGATGCCTTCGAACCCGCGATTCCTGCGCAGTTCGTGGAGCGGCACGGGCGGCGGGGCGGCGGCCTTCCAGCGGCGCTTTTCGCCATCGGTCTCGTACACGGCGATGCGATGTTCGCGCTCGAACGACACCCACAGCGTTCCGTCGCGGGCGGCAATGCCTTCGGCATCGGCCTGCCATTTTCCGGTGATCGGCGCGCCTCCCCTGCCCGCAATCGCGGTCATGGCCAGATCGGTGACGCCGGCGGGATTGCCATCCTCACCGCGGGCCAATGTTCCATCGACCCAGAAACCGGTGTCGGTGACGCCGATAAACCGGCCCTGCCCGTCAACGAAGCGAAAACCGGACAATGCGCCGAAATGGCGAGAGGTGGCGTTGATCTCGAGGCCCCCGGCAAATTCGAGATCGCCGAAACGTGTTTCGTCGGAGCCGATGCGGAAGCGGGTGATCGGCCGCGTCCGTGCCTCCATGCGGTGGAGTTCGGCCTGCTGTGCATGTGCCGGAGCGGGTGGGCTGGCCCATGGCGCGGTCGTCAGCATTGCCAGGGCGAGCGCTGCTCGCGACACGCCCATTCAGCCGGCCCGCCGCCGGCGCGGCGCGGCGCGGCCCTGCTGGCGCGCTGATGCGCTTTCGTCGGTGAACAGGGCGGCCAGTTGCTCGGTCATCGCGCCGGCCAGCTCCTCGGCATCGACGATGGTCACGGCGCGGCGGTAATAGCGGGTCACATCGTGGCCGATGCCGATCGCCAGCAACTCGACATCCGAGCGCGTTTCGATCTCCTCGATAACCGCGCGCAGATGGCGTTCGAGATAGTTGCCCGGATTGACCGACAGCGTCGAATCGTCGACCGGCGCCCCGTCTGAAATCATCATCAGGATGCGGCGCTGCTCGGGCCGGACGGCAAGGCGCCGATAGGCCCAGGTCAGCGCTTCGCCGTCGATGTTTTCCTTCAGGAGACCCTCGCGCATCATCAGGCCGAGATTTTTGCGCACCCGGCGCCAGGGCGCATCCGCGCTCTTGTAGATGATGTGGCGCAGATCGTTGAGACGGCCGGGTTCGGACGGCTTGCCGCGCTTGAGCCAGGCCTCGCGCGCCTGACCGCCCTTCCAGGCCCGCGTTGTAAAGCCGAGGATCTCCACCTTGACGCCGCAGCGCTCAAGCGTCCGCGCCAGAATGTCCGCGCAGGTGGCGGCGACCGAGATCGGCCGGCCGCGCATCGAGCCCGAATTGTCGATCAGAAGCGTGACCACGGTGTCGCGGAAATTGGTGTCGCGCTCGCGCTTGAAGGTCAGAGCGCCGAAGCCGCCTTTCATCTCCTCGACGACAACGCGCGGCAGCCGCGCCGGGTCGAGATAGCCTTCTTCGAGATCGAAGTCCCATGACCGGTTCTGCTGCGCCATCAGGCGGCGCTGGAGCCGGTTGGCGAGGCGGCCGACGACGCCCTGAAGGTTGGCGAGCTGCTTGTCGAGATAGGCGCGCAGACGGTCCAGTTCGGCCTCGTCGCACAGTTCCTCGGCAGCGATCGTCTCGTCGAATTCGGTCGTGTAGATGCGGTAGTCGATATCCGACAGGATATCCTGAATGCCGGGATCGGGCCGCTCGACCTCGCCGGGCTCCTCGGCATCGAGATCGAAATCGTCGTCCATGTCGTCGCTGGTGGCGTCGGACGCCTCCATCTCGCCGGTTTCGGTCTCCTCGCTCTCGGCAGGCGCCTCGTCCTGATCGGCGCTTTCCTCGCCCGACTGCTGGTCGTCCAGGCCGCCATCGTCCTGCTCTTCCTGGTCGGGCGGCTGCTCTTCAGGGCTGTCGTCGTCGTCGGCTTCGTCGGCGCCGTCGCCCTCATAGTCGTCGGCCATTTCCATGGCGGCCAGCATGTGGCGCACGGCGCGGGCGAACGCGTTCTGATCCTCGACATTGGCGGCGAGCGCGTCGAGATCGGCCCCGGCCTTCTCGGTGATCCATTCGCGCCAGAGATCGGCGACGGCGCTGGCCGCTTCCGGCGTCGGCCGGCCGGTCAGTTTCTCGCGAACCATCAGCGCCACCGCTTCCTCCAGCGGCGCCTGGTCCTTTTCGGTGACCGCGGACAGATTGTTGCGCGTGAACCGGTCTTCGAGCATGGCGGCCAGATTGTCGCCCACGCCGGCCATGCGGCGCGTGCCCAGCGACTCGACGCGCGCCTGTTCCACCGCGTCATAAATGGCACGCGCCTGATCGCCCTCGGGCGCGATGGCGCGGTGCGTGGCGTTGTCGTGGCAGGCCGAGCGCAGGGCGATCGAGTCGCCCATGCCGCGCGTGACCATGACATCGTTCCTGGTTACCCGCTTTGGCAGGTCGGTCAGCCGCGCATGCTTGCCGGCGAAGGCCGGCCGATCGGCCGAAAAGACAACCTCCAGCTCCGGTTCGCCCGCGATGGCGCGCATGCAGCCGGTCACCGCTCGCTTGAGCGGCTCGGTGTCGGCGGGCTTCTGCGCGCGCTTGCGGGAATTGTCTCCTGGGCTGGCCATCGTGCTCGCGGTCGGGACCTCGTCAGCTGAGCGCGACGTTGGCCGCGCTTTCCTTGAGTTCCTCGCCGAAGCAGCGCTGGTAGAATTCGGCCACCAGCGTTCGTTCGAGATCGTCGCACTTGTTGAGGAACGTCAGGCGGAACGCCATGCCCAGATCGCCGAAGATCTCGGCGTTTTCGGCCCATGTGATCACCGTGCGGGGGCTCATGACAGTCGACAAATCGCCATTCATGAAGGCTTGCCGCGTGAGGTCGGCGAGCCGCACCATGGCGTTGACCGTCTCGCGGCCATCCTTGGTCTGATAGTGCTTGGCCTTGGCGAGCACGATCTCGACCTCATTGTCGTGCGGCAGATAGTTGAGCGTGGTGACGACCGACCAGCGGTCCATCTGCGCCTGGTTGATCTGCTGGGTGCCGTGATAAAGGCCGGTCGTGTCGCCCAGACCCACCGTGTTGGCGGTGGCGAACAGGCGGAAGGCCGGATGCGGGCGGATCACGCGGCTCTGGTCGAGCAGCGTCAGCCGGCCCGAGCTTTCAAGAACGCGCTGGATGACGAACATCACGTCGGGGCGGCCGGCATCATACTCGTCGAACACCAGCGCGACATTGTTCTGATAGGCCCAGGGCAGAATTCCGTCGCGGAACTCGGTGACCTGCTTGCCCTCGCGAACGACGATGGCATCCTTGCCGACAAGATCGATGCGGGAAATGTGGCTGTCGAGATTGACGCGCACGCATGGCCAGTTGAGACGCGCGGCGACCTGCTCGATATGGGTCGACTTGCCGGTGCCGTGATAGCCCGAGACCATGACACGGCGATTGTGGGCAAAGCCCGCCAGGATCGCCAGCGTGGTGGCGCGGTCGAAAATATAGTCCGGGTCGATCTCCGGAACGTGGGAATCGCCGGTCGAAAAGGCCGGAACGGTCATGTCGACATCGATGCCGAAGGTGTCGCGCACATCGACGCTCGTGTCGGGCATGTCCGCAATATCGAGTTCGATCTTGTTCATCTCGTCTTCTCCGGCGCGCCGCCCTCGGTCACGCCCGTTCTCATTGTCCTATGGATGGCGCGCTAGCACAGGCCGGCGGTCTTTAACAGTTGATAGGCCTGGATCACGTCACGGAACCGCTCCTCGGAGGTGCGATCGCCGCCGTTGGCGTCGGGATGGTGCTTCTTGACCAGTTCCTTGTAGCGTGTCTTGACGTCGTCCGACGTCGCATCGTCCTTCAGACCGAGCGTGCGCATGGCCTTGGACTCCAGCGGCTTGAGCCGGCGTACCGGCTTCTGGCTTTGCGCCCGCGCCCAGGCGTCGGGATCGCGCATCCGCATCGCCTTGGCCGATCCCGACTTCAGATCCGAAAAGACCGGCGCGGCGGTCGTCTTCATATTCGCCGTGCCCATCTTCCAGGTCGGCCGGTTGCCGGTCATGGAGTCCTTCTGGAACCTGGCGATATCGTCGTCCGAAAGGCCGGAGAAATAATTGTAGTTCTTGTTGTACTCGCGCACATGGTCGAGACAGAACCACAGATATTCGCCGTCCCGATTGCGTCCGGCGGGCGCCTTGTGCGCCCCCGGCCGCTCGCACCCCGCCCATTGGCAGCGGTTGCGCGCTTCCTCTTCGGCCTGCCTCTTCTTGCCGCCAGGCTTGATGCGGATCGAATCGAAATATTTCGAGCTTGATTTCATGCGGAACCGATTATGGCGCAACGCCATCTGCAAACAAGGATTGACATCGGGAATGCGCGCGGTACGCCGGACGTGTGGGCGCGGAAAAACGACGCACCCGTTTACCGGCGATCACGACATGTGGCAAGCAGGAGATAGGCATTGGCGGGTCCGATTGAAAGCGCCATGCGCGAGAAGCTGGCTGTAGCCTTCGCGCCGGAGCGGCTCGACATCATCAACGAAAGCCATCTGCATGCCGGCCATCAGGGCGGCGCAATGGATGGCACCGGCGAGACCCATTTCCGCGTGCGCATCTTGTCGGCCGCCTTTGAGGGCCTCGGCCGGCTGGCGCGGCATCGCGCGGTCAACGATGCGCTGGCCGAGGAACTGGCCGGCGGCCTGCATGCGCTCGCCATCGAGCCGGCGGCGCCGGGCGAGCCGGTTCGCTGGTGATCGAACGCCGGCCTTGTCGATGTTCGTCCTTCTGTTCGCGTCGCCCTGAGCGACTTGACTCAAATCATTGTGCGCTGCCTGACAGCGGTTAGCATGGTGTCAGTGTTCCTGGCAGCGAGACGCCGGCATGGCCGAACGGGATGAAAAGGTCGCGGAGACGCTCGGGCTCGACCGTGCGGCCCGACGCCATTTCAACTGGGTGGCCTATGCTCTCCTGCTGGCCGTCGTGGTGGCCGGTGGATGGTACTGGCTGACCCGGGCCGATGCCGAACGCGGCGTCGAATATGTCACTGCAGAGGCGACGGTCGGGGGGTTCGTCGTTACCGTCGATGCGACCGGAACGGTCGAGCCGACCAATCTGGTCGAAATCTCCAGCGAGCTGTCGGGCACGCTCGACGCGGTCAATGTCGATTTCAACGATACGGTCGAGGTGGGGACCGTTCTGGCAACGCTCGATACGACTCAACTGGAAGCGCAGCTTGCGGTCAGCAAGGCACAGCTCGACGCCGCCGGAGCACGAATAGCGATGGTCCAGGCGGGCCTCGACGATGCAAAGCAGAAGTTCGAGGCGGCGCGCGACCTGGAAGCACGCGGCATCACGCCCCGGCAGATGTTCTTCACGCAGGAGGCGGCGTACATTCGCGCCCGGGCGGAGATGGAGTCGGCACTCGCCGACAAGGCGCTGTCCGAGGCCAATCTGGACCTGCAGCAAGCGATTCTCGACAAGGCCTGCATCTGTTCGCCGATCCGCGGCATCGTGCTCGACCGCGCGGCCGATCCGGGTCAGATCGTTGCGTCCTCCCTGTCGGCACCGATCCTGTTCACGGTCGCCGAGGATCTGAGCCAGATGGAATTGCAGGTCGATATCGACGAAGCCGATATCGGCCGCATCGCGGTCGGCAATACCGCTACATTCACGGTCGATGCCTATGACGACCGGCGCTTTCCGGCGACAGTGACCGAAGTGCGCTTCGCGCCGCAGACGGTCGAAGGCGTCGTTACCTACAAGGCGATCCTGACGGTCGACAACAGCGCCCTGCTGCTCCGGCCGGGCATGACGGCGACGGCCGAGATCTCCGTGGCCGAGATCGAGGATGCGCTGGTCGTTCCCAATGCAGCGCTTCGCTATGCCCCGCCGCGCGAGCCGGGCGATACGCAGACCGACGACGACCGGAGCGGCCTTCTGGGCATGCTGATGCCCGAGCGCCCGCAAGAGGATGTCGAGGGCGATGTTCGCACCGTGTGGGTGATGCGCGACGGCGAGCCTGAGGAAATCCCGGTGGTGACCGGCGACAGCGACGGTTCGGTGACCGAGGTGGTCGGCGGAACGTTGCGTTCGGGAGACCTGGTGATCACGGACCGGGTCGATGGCTGAGTCCGGCCGGTCCGATCCGCCGCTCATCAAGCTGCGCGACATCACACGCGTCTACGGGCATGGCGAAGCGACCGTGCGGGCGCTTGACGGCATCAACCTGACCATCGAGGCCGGCGAGTTCATCGCCATCATGGGACCGAGCGGATCGGGCAAGTCGACGGCGATGAACGTCATCGGCTGCCTCGACAGCCCGACCAGCGGCACCTACCGGTTTCGCGGGGTCGAGGTCGCCGATCTCGACCGCGATCAGAGGGCGCTCCTGCGCCGGCACTATCTGGGGTTTGTGTTTCAGGGCTACAATCTGCTGCCGCGCACAAGCGCGCTTCACAATGTCGAGCTGCCGCTGATCTACAAGGGACTTCGGCGGGCCGAACGCAGGGCGGCTGCCACGCAGGCGCTGGAGAAGGTCGGGCTGACGCACCGCGCCCATCACGACCCGTCCGAATTGTCCGGCGGCCAGCAGCAGCGCGTGGCGATCGCCCGGGCTCTGGCCGGAAATCCCGAGGTGGTGCTTGCCGACGAGCCGACCGGCAATCTCGATACGCGGCGCTCGGTCGAGATCATGGAGGTGCTCCAGACGCTGAACCGGGAGGATGGGCTGACCATCGTCATGGTTACCCATGAGGAAGACATGGCCCAGTTCGCCGACCGCCTGATCTGGATGGTCGACGGACGCATCGAACGCGACGGACCGACCCGGCCGGAACGCGAGGTGGCCCGCGATGCTGTATGAAACGCTTCTGCTGGCTCTGCAGGCGATCTTCCGCAATGCGCTGCGGTCGTTCCTGACGGTGCTCGGGATTGTGATCGGTGTCGCTGCGGTGATCGCCATGCTGACGGTTGGCCAGGGCTCCACCGAACAGGTGACGGCCGATGTCGAAAAGCTCGGCACCAACGTCCTGATGGTGCTCCCCGGCGGTGAGGCAATGGGCGGTCCGGCCGGCACGGCCGATCCGATGTTCGTCATAGGCGATGTCGATGCGGTGCAGGAAGAGATCGCCAGCGTGGCGCTGGCGGCACCGATCAGCCAGAATCGCGCCCGCGTCGTGTTCGGCAACGAAAACCGGCGCACCGACATTGTCGGCACCGACAACCGCTACCTTGAGGCGGCGCGCTGGGACTTCGCCCGCGGACGCGCCTGGGAAGCCTCGGAAATCCAGTCCGGAAAGCCTGTCTGCATTCTGGGCGAGACGGTTCGGGCAGACCTGTTCGGCTACGCCGATCCGGTCGGCGAACAGGTGCGCATCAAGAACATGTCCTGCGAGGTCATCGGCCTTCTCAAGTCGAAGGGCGCTTCGACGTTTGGCGCCGATCAGGACGATTTCGTGCTGATGCCCTACCGGGCTTTTCACCGGCGGATTGCCGGCAATGCCGACGTCTCTACCATCTATGTTTCGGTGCGCGAAGGCGTGACCACCGAACGGGCCACCGAGGAGATCGAGGCGCTGATGCGCGACCGAAGGCGGATCGGCGCAGGCGAGGACGACGATTTCGACGTCATGGACATGGAGCAGATCGCCACCATGCTGTCGGGGATCACCGACATTCTGACCGGGCTTTTGTCGGCGGTGGCCGCGGTCAGTCTGCTGGTCGGCGGCATCGGCATCATGAACATCATGCTGGTGTCGGTCACCGAGCGCACGCGTGAGATCGGCATCCGGCTTGCCGTCGGCGCCCAGGCACGGCAGGTGCTGCTGCAGTTTCTCGTCGAGGCGATCGTGTTGTCGCTGATTGGCGGTTTGATCGGAATCCTGCTCGGCCTGGCACTCGGTTATCTTGGTGCCCAGTGGCTCGCCGTGCCGTTCCGTCCCGATCCGCTCGTGATCCTGATGGCATTCGGATTTTCGGCGGCCGTCGGCGTGATCTTCGGCTTTTTCCCGGCCCGGCGGGCGGCGATGCTCGACCCGATCGAAGCGCTGCGCCACGAATAGAAGAGACGTCTGCCGGTTTAGACCGGCGCCTGCCCATGCCGGAATCTCGATGACTCGTTCGGCTGCCAGGACAGGGTCGTTGGACCGTCAAAGAAGAAAGGCCGGGCAAGATCGCCCGGCCTTTCTGATGTTTGAGCCGTCTGCCTCAGCCGTGACCAGCCAGGATCGCCAGACGCACGTCCTCGGCCTTGGCGGCGATCGAGTTGATCGTTGCGTCGCTCATGGACACGCCCATGATCGTGGCAAGCGCGGAGACCGTGTCGGTGCTGACCGGGACGTTCTTGTCCGAGGCGGCCCCCAGCAGGATGCCCGACAGATCGGCGGTCGATGCCGGTGTGACGCCGGGAAGGCTCGTAGAGCCAGTGTTCCAAAACTCGTCGAGAAGCGCCAGATTTTCCAAAGGCGAGTCGACGATCGTGACCGAATCCCAATTGGCTTCCACATAAGCCGCAAACTGGGCCGCGGTCATCCCGTAAAGCGATGCCGAAGCTGCTGGATCGAAGTTGTTGAGCACTTCGTTCAGAGCACGCTCAAGCACATGGTCGGGGCTGCGCGCAACGTTCAGCCGCCCAAGTTCGACCTCGGGAATGCCTTCCTGAGCCCAAGCGGGCTTGCCGCCCGAACCTTCAGCGGGCTTGCCCGCCTGAGGGCCCTTCCCGTCGGAATCGTCGGGTTCGCCCGATCCGGCACGCGGTCCCTGGCCGCCCGAGCCTTGGCCGCCCTGACCGCCCGAGCCGTGGTCGTCGCCGCCATCGTCATGGCCACCATCGGAATGACCGCCACCGCCTTGTCCGCCTTGGCCTTGCCCACCTTGACCCTGGCCACCTTGGCCTTGGCCGCCTTGCTGGGCGGCGGCATCGACGGATCCGAATCCGTAGTCCGTCTTGGTTTCAATTGCGGCCCCGACCGTGAGTATCGCAACGGCAGACACGCCAGCGATCAGTGTCCGACCGAGCGTGGTCTTTGTGCGCTGTATCATTTATGCAACTCCTGTTCACCGAACTTGAAAGCCCCCCGACTCGGGGCTTGCCGGGGAACATTATCGTTGCCTTTCATGTGTACATTAACATAGATCAATATACGCTGCCTTTTGCCGACCGGGACACGTTGGCCGATTGATGGCATCGGGCCATTGCGGTAATCAGTGATCTGAAGCGGTGCCGAGGTGAGGTGAGACATGAACAGAATTCAGAAGTTTCTTCTGGCAGCTGCCGCAAGTGCGGCGATCGCGCCGATTGCTGCACAGGCTGCGGATGACATCATCGAACCGGTGATCGCGCCGCCGAGCGTTTATCCGACTTGGTATGTGCGCGGCGAGGCCGGCGGGTCGTGGCTTGCGGAAAACCGGGGCTTTTGGTGTGGGCCGGGTTGTGCGGTCCCTCCACCCGGGCAGGATCCGCGTATCATCTTTGACCTGGACAGCGGCGTTGCGTTCACGGGCAATGTCGGTGTCGGTGCGGAGGTCATGCAGGGTGTGCGTCTCGACGTGTCGGCTGGATATACTGGCGGCCAGCGCGTCGATGCCGATTGGAACCGGTCACTCACACCACCGCCGGTGAACTTCACCGAGCATGCCGATATCGATGCGACAGTTTCGGCGTTCACGGGTCTCGTGAACCTGTTCATCGAACCGCTGGCGCTGGGCGGAAACGATTCGCCCATCCAGCCCTTCGTGACCGGTGGCATCGGCTTTGCCAACGTGCGCATGGACGACTGGGTGCGCACAAACTCCGACCCGGCGCATCCGCGGCCGACCCGCGTGTTTGAAGGCTCGAGCGCGACGAACTTCGCCTGGTCCGTTGGAGCAGGCGTCAGTGCCGATCTGGAAGAGGTGGTGGGCCAGAACGTCCTGCTCGATTTGACATACCGCTATACGGACATGGGCCGCGTTGCGGGCAGCGGGACACCGCTGCCGGGCCAAGGCAATGGCGTTCCGGAAGAGCCCTTCAACTTCAACTATCGGACCCATACGGTGACGATTGGCGTGCGCGTGCCGTTTGGCACCTGAGCCGCTACCCGCCTGGGCACGCATCAATTCCGACAAGCCGGGCCTCCGCCCGGCTTTTTGCCTTTAGGCCGGCCGGACGCGGAGTTTCCTGATCCTGTTCTTCTCGCGCTTGAGCACGATGAAGCGCTTTCCGTGGAAGGTGAAGGCCTGCTTTTCGGCGGGAATCGTCTTGGCCTCGTGGATGACGAGGCCGGCGATGGTGTTGGCGTCGTCGTCCGGCAGGTCCCAGTCGAGCGCGCGATTGAGGTCGCGGATCGGCACCGACCCGTCGACGACGACCGATCCGTCCGCCTCGGTCTGCACGCCGGCCACCTCGATATCGTGCTCGTCGGCAATGTCGCCGATAATCTCCTCGATGATGTCCTCGAGCGTCACCAACCCTTCCAGCTCGCCATATTCGTCGACGACGATCGCGACATGGGCGCGGCGGCGCAGGAAGGCGTTGAGCTGGTCCTGAAGCATGGTCGTGTCGGGCACGAACCAGGGCTTGTTGGCGATCTTCATGATGTCGACGCGGGTCGGGTCGTTGTCGACCGCGTGCAGAGCGCGCAGAAGGTCCTTGGCGTGCACGATGCCGACAATGTTGTCGGTCTCGCCGCGCCAGACCGGCATGCGCGTATAGGGGCTTTCGAGGATTTCGCGCACGACGATCTCGGCCGGGTCATCGGCATTGACCATGCGCATCGCCGTGCGGTGGATCATGATGTCGCCGACATCGAGTTCGCTGAGGTCGAGCACGCCGCCGAGGCGATCGCGCTCTTCCTTGATGAAGGAGCCCTCCTCGTGAAGCACGGTCACCGCGCCGCGCAGTTCCTCATGCGCGGACAGGATCGATTCGTTGGCCCCAAAGGTCACGCCGAAGACGCTCAGGATGCGCCGGACGATGAAGTCGACGGCCCGCGCCAGCGGCGAAACAATGGCGACGAAGATCTGAATGGCCGGCACGACGAACATGGCGAACCGGTCGGTCTTGGAGATCGCCAGATATTTCGGCATCACCTCGGCGAAGATGACCAGCAACACCGTCATGATCAATGTCGCGTAGACGACACCGGTATCGCCGAACAGCGACAGGAACAGCGTGGTCGCAAGCGCCGACGACAGGACGTTGATCAGATTGTTGCCGATCAGCAGCGCGCCGATCAGCCGTTCCTTGTTTTCCGTCAGCTGGCCGACCGCGCCGGCGCGGGCATTGCCGTTGGCCTCCATCTGGCGCATGCGGCCGCGTGAAACCGCTGTCAGCGCCGTCTCCGATCCGGAAAAGAAGCCCGACATGACGATCAGCACCGCGATGGCGCCGGCTATGATCCAGATTTCCATGACTGTCAGCTCTCGAGCATCTGTTGAAGGAAGGCCCTGACCTCGGAAGCAGGCACGTCGTCCGCAATGAACGCTTCGCCGATGCCGCGCGTCAGGATGAAGGTGAGCGCACCGCGCGAGACCTTCTTGTCCTGGGCGATGAAGTCCATCAGCGCGTCGGCGTCCGGTACATGGGCGCGCACCGGTGTCAGATCGGTCGGCAGGCCCGCGGTTTCAAGATGGGCCGTCACGCGTTTCACATCATCGGGGCTGCACAAATTCATGCGTGCCGAAAATGCGTGCGCCAGCACCAGGCCGATGGCCACACCCTCACCATGAACGAGCACATCGGAGCGGTAGCCGGTGATGCCTTCCAGTGCATGGCCGAATGTGTGGCCGAGATTGAGCAGCGCCCGTTCTCCGGCCTCACGTTCGTCGCGGGCGACGATAGCCGCCTTGGCTCGGCACGATGCGGCGATCGCCTGCGTCCGCGCCGGGCCGCCGGCGGTGATCGCATCGAGATTGTCTTCCAGCCACGAAAAGAAGGGCGCGTCGTTGATCAGCCCGTATTTGGCGACTTCCGCATAGCCGGCGCGAAACTCGCGAACGGGCAGCGTGTCCAGAACAGCGGTGTCGGCGATCACGATGCGTGGCTGATAGAAGGCGCCGATCAGGTTCTTGCCCTGCGGAGCGTTGATCCCGGTCTTGCCGCCGACCGATGAATCGACCTGGGCCAGAAGCGAGGTGGGGATCTGCACGAAACCCATGCCGCGCCGCGTCACTGCTGCCGCAAAGCCCGTCAGGTCTCCGATCACCCCGCCGCCCAGCGCGACCACCAGATCGCCGCGTTCGAGCCGTGCATCGAGCAGCGCTTCGACCGTTTGCCGGAGGTGGCCGAAGTCCTTGGTGGCTTCACCGGCCGGCAGCACAAGGGTTCCCGGCTCGAAACCGGCACCGGAAAGGCTCGCGCGCACAGCATCGAGATGGAGTGCGGCCACGTTTTCGTCGGTGACGACGGCGCACCGGGTACCGGGCGCCAGCGTGGCCAGATATGTGCCGGTCTCGGCCAGAACACGGGGTCCGATCACGATGTCATAGGCGCGTTCGCCCAGATCGACGCGAACGGTCTGGTGCAGGGTCTCGTCGATCATGGGCCGATCGTTCCGGTTTCGGGTGTTTTCAGGCGTAGATGATGATGAAGCGCCTCGACGACCGTGTCGGCCATCTCGTCCTTGCCGACATCGCGGGATATGACCGTCACATCGGCGGTGGCGTAAACCGGGTATCGCTCGTCCATCAGCTTTTGCATCACCGCGCGGGGGTCAGGCGCCCTTAAAAGCGGCCGCGTCGCCTTTCGCGACACGCGCGCCATCAGAAGATCGAGATCGGCCGACAGCCAGACCGAAACGCCGGCGGCGCCGATCGCGGCACGTGTGTCGGCGTTCATGAAGGCGCCACCGCCGGTCGCCAGCACCGTTGCGCCGGCACCGAGAAGCCGGGTCATGACGCTGGCCTCAAGGCGCCGGAACTCGGCTTCGCCATAGTGCTCGAAAATGTCGGCGACCGACATGCTGGCCGCTTCCTCGATCTCGTGATCGGCATCGATGAAGGGCAGTTCGAGCCGCGCGGCCAGCTTGCGGCCGATCGCCGATTTGCCGGCGCCCATCAGGCCGATCAGGACGACCGGCCGCCCGTCCAGCCGGTCGGCGACCTGTTTGGCCATATCTGGCGATTTTTCTGTCATCCTGTGCTGTTAGCACATCATGGCGATGGCCGAGTCAAGCCGTTTGCCAGAGCTTGATCTTTCCCCCGTCGCGGCTGCATAAGAAGCGCAATTGTCCGATTTCGGGCAAAGATGGTTGTGTGATGCCCAGTCTCTTCCGGTTCCTCTTCGTGTTGGGCGTTCTTGCGGCGCTGGCCTACGGTGCCATGTTGGCGCTGGTGGTTTTCGTCAAGCCCGAGCCGCGTCCGATGACCGTCACGATTCCGGCGGACCGCCTGAACCCGGTGCGGATCACCGTTCCGACCGCCGAGCCGGCGGAAGCCGACGGGTCCGGCGATACGGAAGCGGAAGCCGCGCAATAGGCAGCGTTTCGGTAAGGTCTCGCCGCTAGGCTGTCGTCCATGATCGAAGCTTTCCTCGAGATGATGAGCGCCGAGCGCGGCGCGGCCCTCAACACGCTGCAATCCTATCGCCGCGATCTGGAGGATGCCGACCGCTTCCTGCGGGCCCGCGGCGCGGGTGGATTGCACGCCGCGCAGACCGCCGACCTGTCGGCCTATCTGCACGGGCTCGAGGCGCAGGGCTTCGCTGCCAGTTCCCAGGCGCGGCGCCTGTCGGCGCTGCGTCAGTTCTTCCGTTTCCTGTTTGCCGAAAATGTCCGCTCCGACGACCCGACCGGCGTTATCTCTTCGCCGAAAAAACAGCGTGGCCTGCCGCGCCATCTGAGCATGGAGGCGGTGTCACGGCTGCTGGAGACGGCGCGACGTGAAGCGCTTGAGGGCCAAAAAACGCCGGCACAGGCGCGGCGGACGGCGCGAACTCATGCGATGGTGGAGTTTCTCTATGCCACCGGTCTGCGCATCAGCGAACTGACGCGCCTGCCCGCGACCATCCTGCACCGCGAGGAACCGTTCTTCATGGTCAAGGGAAAGGGCGGCAAGGAGCGATTGGTGCCGCTGTCCGACAGCGCACGCCATGCCGGGCAGGCCTATCGGATGCTACTCGAAGGCGACGAACGCGCCCGACAATGCCCGTTCCTGTTCCCCGACGACAGTTTCTCAGGCCCGGTTGCGCGGCAGGTTCTGGCGCGCGACCTGAAGGCAATAGGCGCCCGTTGCGGCATTGCCGCCGAAAGCTTGTCGCCGCATGTGTTACGCCATGCCTTTGCGACCCATCTGCTTGAAAACGGTGCCGATCTGCGCGTCGTGCAGCAATTGCTCGGCCATGCGGACATATCGACCACGCAGATCTACACCCACGTAATGGATGAGCGGCTGCATGCGCTGGTCAGCGCCCATCATCCGCTGGCGGCGTCCGGAAACCGGCAATAGGGCGGCGCCCGCCCGCCCATCCTTGACATCATGGCCATTTGCCGCCACCTGCATGCCGCAACGGGCGCGGGAGCCGGCCGATGGCCGCAGGATGATCGATGTACAGCTATCTTGAGTTCGAAAAACCGATCGCGGATCTGGAAGGCCAGATCCTCGAACTCAAGAAGCTGGCCGAGAGCGGAGAAGGGGCGGTCGATGTCGCCGAGGAAATCGCGCGGCTCGAAAAGCGCTCGCACGAGGCGCTGGTCGAAGCCTATCGCAAGCTGACGCCCTGGCAGAAAGCGATGGTCGCCCGGCACCCGGACCGGCCGCACTGCATCGACTATGTCGATGCGCTTTTCACCGAATTCACGCCGCTGGCCGGCGATCGGAATTTTGCCGAAGACCACGCGGTGATGGCCGGGTTCGCGCGCTACCACGGGCAGCCCGTCGCGGTGATCGGTCAGGAGAAGGGCAACGACACCAAGTCGCGCCTGAAACACAATTTCGGCATGGCCCGCCCGGAAGGCTATCGCAAGGCTGTGCGGATCATGGAACTGGCCGATCGGTTCGGCCTGCCGGTGATCACGCTGGTCGATACGGCGGGCGCCTATCCGGGCATCGGCGCCGAGGAGCGCGGACAGGCCGAGGCGATCGCCCGATCGACGGAAAAATGCCTGAATCTGCGGGTTCCGCTCGTGTCCGTCATCATCGGCGAGGGCGGCTCGGGCGGCGCGATCGCCATTGCCACGGCCAATACCGTCCTGATGCTCGAACACGCGATCTATTCGGTGATCTCGCCGGAAGCCGGCGCGTCGATCCTGTGGCGCGATGCGGCCCGCGCCAAGGATGTGGCCACGGCCATGAAGATCACCGCCCAGGACTTGCTCGAACTGAAGATCATCGATGCGATCATATCCGAACCGCTGGGCGGCGCGCATCGCGATGTGTCCGCCGTGATGGCCGAAACCGACAGGCATCTCACCAAGGCCATGGCGGCGCTGGACGGCAAGGATGGCGACACACTCAGGCGCCAGCGGCGCGAAAAGTTCCTGGCCATCGGCCGGAACCTCTGAGACCTCTGTCCGGCTCCCCGCCACGATCCGCGTCGGTCTGCCGCGCCCTTCAAGGCTTCGACCGCTTGGCATCGATGGGTTGGGCGCATATCTGTATGCCGCCCGCCCGAGGGGAAAAGAATGGCACAAGCACCCAGCCAGGACATCGTCACCGAAACGCTGCGCAAGATCATGCTGCCTGACGGGCGCGATCTGGTCGGCGCCGGGATGGTGTCGGACATCTTCATCGCCGACGGGAAGGTCTTCTTCTCGCTGACCTGCGATGCCGCCGATGCAGAGCGGCTGGAGCCGGTGCGCGAGGCGGCCCAGGCTGCGGTCACGGCGCTGCCCGGCGTCAAGGCGGCGATGGTTGCGCTGACCGCCGAAAAAAAGGGCGGCCAGAGCGGGCCGGAGCCGCAGGCGCGAAACGTGCCGCCACCGCCGCCATCGGCCGGGCGGCGCCCGGTCACCGACCGGGCGAAGCCGGGCGTCCCCGGGGTCAAGCACATCATCGCCGTCGCGTCGGGCAAGGGCGGCGTCGGCAAGTCGACCACCGCGATCAATCTGGCGCTCGGTCTTGCTGCTTGCGGTCTGAAAACCGGCATTCTGGATGCAGACATTTACGGGCCGTCGCTGCCGCGTCTTTTGGGATTGAAGGACACCAAACCGCAGCAGCTCGAGGGCCGCATTCTCAAGCCGATCGAACAGTTCGGGCTGCAGGCCATGTCCATCGGCTTTCTGGTCGAGGAAGAGACGCCAATGATCTGGCGCGGGCCGATGGTCGTCTCGGCGATCACGCAAATGCTGCGCGAGGTGGCCTGGAGCGATCTCGACGTTCTGGTCGTCGACATGCCGCCGGGCACGGGAGACGCGCAGCTCACCATGGCGCAGAACGTTCCGCTGTCTGGCGCGGTGATCGTCTCGACGCCGCAGGATCTGGCGCTGATCGACGCGCGCAAGGGCCTGAAAATGTTTGAAAAGGTCAATGTGCCGGTTCTCGGCATCATCGAGAACATGAGCTATTTCGTGGCGCCGGACACCGGCGCGCGCTACGACATCTTCGGCCATGGCGGCGCCAGGGCGGAAGCTCAGCGGCTGGGTGTCCCCTTTCTGGGCGAGGTTCCGCTGGTGATGGCGATCCGCGAAACCTCCGACGCCGGAAGACCGATCACCGTGGCCGAACCGGACGGTCCGCACGCCGCTGCCTACACGGCCATCGCCGAGCGAGTTTCGGCGGCGCTCTCGACCGGTGCCGGCGCGAAACCAGCCCCCGCCATCGTTTTCGAGTGATCGCGTTCCGCCGGACGCGGCCGGCCGGGGTTCAGTCTTTCAGCGAGCGTATATCGACAAACCGTCCGGCGATCGCTGCGGCGGCTGCCATGGCCGGCGAGACGAGATGGGTGCGGCCCTTATAGCCCTGCCGGCCCTCGAAATTGCGGTTCGACGTCGATGCGCAGCGCTCTTCAGGCTTCAGCCGGTCGTCGTTCATGGCAAGACACATGGAGCAGCCCGGCTCGCGCCAGTCAAAACCCGCCGCCTTGAAGATCGCGTCGAGCCCTTCGGCCTCGGCCTGTGCCTTCACCAGGCCCGAGCCGGGGACGATCATCGCATCGACCCGCTCGGCGACGCGCTTTCCCTCCACCACGCGGGCGACTTCGCGCAGATCCTCGATGCGGCCATTGGTGCATGAGCCGATGAACGCACGGTCGATCTCGATATCGGTGATCCTGGTGCCCGGCTTGAGCCCCATATAGTCGAGCGCGCGCCATTTGGAGGCGCGCTTGTTGGCATCCTCGATCTCGTCGGGGTCCGGCACGCTGCCCTCGATCGAGACGACATCCTCGGGCGACGAACCCCAGGAGACGATCGGCGGCAGATCTGCGGCGTCGAGCGTGACGATCTTGTCGAAATGGGCGCCTTCGTCGGTGTGGAGCGTTTTCCAGTAAGCGAGCGCCATGTCCCATGCCTTGCCCGTGGGTGCGCGGGGCTTGTCCTTGATGTAGGCGAAGGTGGTCTCGTCGGGCGCGATCATGCCGGCGCGGGCGCCGCCCTCGATCGACATGTTGCAGACGGTCATGCGCCCTTCCATGGACAGCGCGCGGATCGCATCGCCCGCATATTCGATGACATGGCCGGTGCCGCCGGCGGTGCCGATCTGGCCGATGATGGCGAGGATGATGTCCTTGGCCGTCACGCCGTCGGGCGCGACGCCATCGACGCGCACCAGCATGTTCTTCGCCTTCTTCTGGATCAGCGTCTGGGTGGCCAGAACGTGCTCGACCTCGGACGTGCCGATGCCGTGCGCCAGCGCGCCAAACGCGCCATGGGTCGAGGTGTGGCTGTCGCCGCAGACGATGGTCATGCCCGGCAGGGTGAAGCCCTGCTCGGGGCCGACAATGTGGACGATGCCCTGCCGGCGGTCGTTCTCGGAATAGTATTCGATGCCGAAATCGGCGGCGTTCCTGGCCAGCGCCTCGACCTGGATGCGGCTTTCCTCGTTCTTGATGCCCAGATGCCGGTCTGGCGAGGTCGGCACATTGTGGTCGACCACGGCCAGTGTCTTTTCGGGCTGGCGGACGGTGCGGTTGGCCATGCGCAGGCCTTCGAACGCCTGCGGGCTGGTTACCTCATGGACCAGATGCCGGTCGATATAGATCAGCGACGTGCCGTCGTCGGCCTCGTGAACCAGATGGTCGTCCCAGATCTTGTCGTAGAGCGTGCGCGGCGCGGCCATGGCGGCGTGTCCTCATTGGCGAGTGTGCGGTATTGCGCCGATATGCAACGGCGGGGGAAGGGGCGTCAAGGACGCTGCCGCCGACTTCCGGCCGTCGCCAGCACGCATGAGAATCGGGCGTCGCTGTCAGGCAACCCGCACGATCTCGAAGCGGCAGACCTCGCTGCCCCAACCGACGCACTCGGTTTCTTGGATCGTGATGGCCGGATCGACGAGGGTCTGAAACAGGCGTCGGAACACCGCCGCATGCCAGACGCAGGATGAAAACCCGACCTTGCCCAGACAGATCGGATTGTCGTGGATGGCGATGAATCCCGCCCCCCGTTCGACGCGTGCATTGCCGGCAAAGGTCCAGGCATTGCGGACAATCGCCGCCAGCAGGACGCGCTGCGCAATGTATGCCGGCAGGTGTCTCAACATCCACTGGGCGGCTTTGGGGATGCGGTTGGCGAGGATGTAGTCGCCTGTCAGTTCGCCGGCCCGCTTCATCACCGCATGGGCGGTCTTCGCATCGAGTTGGACGGCGATCTGGCGGTTCAGCGCGTTGACGGTATCGGCCTCGACCATGGCGTCGGGATCTTCGTCCGCAAAGCGTTCCAGGCCCGCTGCGTCGAAGATCGCCCGGCGCTTGTCGGCGCCCACCAGTGCATCGAGCGCCGTTCGCGTCTGGATGATTGCGTTGGGACCGACGGTCGGCGGCGCATCATCGACTGTTGCGCGGCGAACGGACGGCCTTGCCGTTTCGCTATCGAGGACCGTCACGGCGCACTTCCTCGCAGTGGTTCGTGGCTGCCGTCATTCGGCCGCCGGTGGCGCATCGGTCGGCAGCTTGACCCTCGGCGGACGCTTGGCGCTCGGCCGGCGCGTCGATGTCGGCAGTCCGGAATAGTCTTCCATCTGCTCGGTGCCGCCGCCGCAGGCCATCGGCACGCCGTCCTCGTTCTTTTCGATCTTCCGGCGGGCTTCCTGCAGCGCGACCTTCTTGTCGTGGATCGCGGCCCAGTCGTCGAGCTGCGCCTTGGCGATCGTCCGCGTCTCGTCGAAGTGGAAATCGACCTTGCCCTTGGACTGCGGGCCCCAATAATTGTGCTTGCCGAGGTCATAGAATTTGCGCTGGAAGCCGGCCTTCAGAAACGCCTTGAGGCAACCGAGCAGATAACGGCGCCGGAAGCCCGTGCCGCGCCACGGATAGTGGAACAGGGCCTTCTTGGAGTAAAAGCGCCGGTAATTGTTCATCACACGGTCGAGAAGCTCGTCGCGGTCCATCGCTTCGGGCTTCATGATCGGCGTGACGAAATTGTACTTTGAGAAGTCGAACACCTCGACCTTGTCGCCCAGTTCCTGGAACAGGGGCGTGAACGGCCAGGGCGTGTACATGGCCCAGTTGGCAAGATCGGGCTGCCAGTCCCAGGCCATTTTGTAGGTTTCCTCCAGCGTCTCGGCCGTCTCATTGTCGAGGCCGACAATGAATTGCGCCTCGGTGAAGATGTCGGCGTCGCGCAACAGCTTGATTGCCCGCTTGTTGTCGGCGACCTTGGTTTCCTTGTTGAACTGGTCGAGCTTCATCTGCGCCGCCGCTTCGGTGCCGAGCGAGACGTGCACGAGACCCGCCTTGCGGTAGAGCGGCAGCAGTTCCTCGTCGCGCAGAATGTCGGTGACGCGCGTGTTGATGCCCCATTTGATCTTCTGCGGCAGCCCGCGCGCGATCAGCTCTTCGCAGAACTCGATGAACTTCTTGCGGTTGATGGTCGGCTCCTCGTCGGCGAGGATGAAGAAGCCGACGCCGTGATCGTTGACCAGCGTTTCGATCTCGTCGACCACGGCCTTCGGGTCGCGGACGCGATAGTCGCGCCAGAATTTCCATTGCGAGCAGAACGAGCAGGTGAACGGGCAGCCGCGCGCCATGTTGGGGATCGCCACCTTCACGCCGAGCGGCACGTAGATGTATTTGTCCCATTCGAGCAGCGACCAATCCGGTTCGATCGCATCGAGATTTTTCACCGTTGGCGCGGCCGGGGTGGCGACGATCTGCTCGCCGTCGCGGAACGCCAGGCCCTTGATCGTGTCCCGCTCGGCGGGCCAGCGCCCTTCGGCAACGGCGGTGACGAACTCGGCGAAGATCTCCTCGCCCTCGCCGCGCACGATGACGTCGATCCATGGCGCTTCGGACAGGACCTGCTTGTACATGAACGTCGCATGCACGCCGCCCAGGACGCGGACGGCCTTGGGGCAGACCTGCTGGGCGATCTTCAGCACGTTCTCGGCGACATAGATGGAGGGGGTGATGGCGGTGGTGCCGACAATGTCCGGCTGCAGGTCGGCGAGCTTCTTGCCAAGATCGACATCGTCGATCTCGTTGGTCATGGCATCGATGAAGGTGACCTTGTCGAAGCCGGCCCTTTTCAGCGATCCAGCCAGATAGGCGACCCAAGCCGGCGGCCAGTTGCCGGCGATTTCCGCCCCGCCCGAGTGGTAGTTCGGATGAACGAGTACGACATGCATGGCGGGCCTCCCTGCGTTTTGCGGGGAAGCGTACGCCCGAACTGTCAACCTGAATTGACATAAGTCAACGTCAACGCATTTGGCCGGCGGGTGCAATCGGTTCAATTCTCAGCTTGACCGGCCGGGCGTTCGAGCGCATCGCGCGGCGTCTTTGTATTGAGCGCTTCAACGATGTTCATTCATGAGATCGCCGCGCTGGCGGCCGCCGCCGTATGGGCGCTGACCGGGCTCGTCTCGGTGGCCCCGGCCAGGCACCTGGGCGCCATCGCCTTCAACCGGCTGCGCATGGCGATGGTGTTCGCCATGCTGGCGGTGTGGGTGACGGCGGCGGGCACCTGGAGCACGCTGTCGGGCGAGGTGCTATGGCCGCTGGTCTGGTCGGGGCTCATCGGCATCTTTCTGGGCGACACGGCGCTGTTTCTGACCATGAACAGGCTTGGACCGCGGCGAACGGGCATCCTGTTTTCGATGAATGCGCCGATGTCCGTCGTGCTGGGCTGGATTGTTCTGGGCGAAGCGCTGTCTGTGGTTACCTTGGCCGGCATCGCGATCGCCATGACCGGCGTGGTGCTCGCCATCGTCTTCGGCAAGCGCAAGGATCAGCTTCATCAATGGGAAAGCGTGACCGGGCCGCTGTGGGTCGGCGTTGCGCTCGGGCTCGCTGCTGCGTTGTGCCAATCGGTCGGTGCACTCATCGCGCGTCCCGTCATGGAAACGGGCATGGTCGATCCCGCCGCGGCATCGGCGGTGCGGATCGGCGTGGCCGCGCTGTGCCTGACCGTGCTGATGCAGGCGCCTGCTCGGATGGTCGGCCAGGCCAAGCCGCTGACCTGGAGCATTGCCGGCTACACCGCGCTGTCCGGTTTTCTGGCGATGGCGCTCGGCATGACGTTTCTGCTGTTTGCCCTGTCGGGCGGCGAAGTGGGGATCGTCACGACCCTTTCGGCGACGACGCCGGCGATCATGCTGCCGCTTCTGTGGTGGCGGACGCGAGAGATGCCGGCGGCCGGCGCGTGGATCGGCGCGGCGCTCGTCGTCGTCGGCAGCGCGCTGATCTTTTCGGGTTAGCGATGCTGGCTCTTTCGCAACCGCTTTTCGAGCTGCCGCAGGGCCAGCGACAGGCCGATGGTCAGGATCAGGTAGATGTAGGCGACGATCGAATAGGTCTCGAAGAAGCGGAACGAGCCGGACGCGTAGACCTTGCCCATCTGGGTGATGTCGGCGACGCCGAGCACGGAGACGAGCGAGGAATCCTTGACCATGGCGACGAAGTCGTTGCCGAGCGGCGGCAGGATGGTGCGGATCGCCTGCGGGAAGACGACGAAGCGGAACCGTTGGAAGGGTGACAGTCCCAGCGCCTCGGCCGCCTCGATCTGGCCCTTGTCGACGGCGAGTATGCCGGCGCGGAAGACTTCGGCGATGAACGCCGAATAGCCGATCATCAGCGCCAGGATTGCCCGCCACAGGAGCGAGATGTCGCGCACCAGAAGCGGCTCAATCCATCCCAGTTGCTGCAGCGGCCAGGTGACGCCATTGATCAGCCAGACCAGCGCCGGCGCGCCGACAAAGGCGATGTAGAAGAGCAGGACGATGATCGGGATGCCGCGAATAACTTCGACGTAAAAGCGTGCGATCTGCCTTAGGACGAGCGAATTCGACAGCGCCATCAGCGCCAGAAGCAGGCCGAGAATGCTGGCCATGGCAAAGCCGACCAGCGTGACGAAGACCGTGATCTGCACGCCGCGCGAGACGGTGCGGAAGACCTGGGTGTAAAGGTCGTTGGTCGCGATCAGGATTGCAAGGCCGACGCCGATGACGGCCAGTGCCAGCAGCCACCATGGAAAGTCGTCGTCGGGCGCGTCTTGCGAGGGTTCGGGCGGCAGGGCGGTCATCGGATTTGCCAGCGGCTCCGGGATTTCATAGAGGGCCGTTGTGGGCGGAGGAAAACGACGTGTCCAGGATCGTTTGGGTCATCATCGCGTTCGGCATCTTTTACCTGTTCTACGGCGCGAAGGTCTTTTCGCCGCGATGGCATTGGGACCATGTCAAGCGCATGGCACGCAACGAGCCGACCTTTTCATCGCTGGTCACGATCACGCTGGCGCTGGCGATCGCATTTGTCCTGGTGACCTATGTCCGCACTGTGACCGGTTGACCACCGGGTCGCATGAGCCAGTGCCGGCATGCGCCGGATGCGCATGCCGGAAAGACATGAAAAGGGCGTCAGAGAAGCCCCAATGCCCTACTGGCCCAGCGAGTACTCCAGAAACCATTTGGTGTTCAGCGCGTCCAGCGTGCCGTCCGCTTCCATCGAGGCGATGGCGGCGTTGATTGGCTCGACCAGATCGGAGCCTTTGGGGAAGATGAAGCCGAAATCCTCGGTGCCGAGCGGTTCGCCGACCAGCTTCAGCGCGCCGTCCGAGGCCTTGACATAGCCCTCGCCGGCGGTGCCGTCGGTCAGGACGACATCGACATCGCCGGTGCGCAGCGCCTGGACCGAGGCGCCGAACGTTTCGAACAGCTTGATGCGCGGATTGGCCTCGTCGCCGTCGAGCATGTCGTAGACTGCCACGTAGAAGGGCGTCGTTCCCGGCTGTGCGCCGACAAGACCGTCTTCAAAGGCCGCAAAGCTCGGCGCATCGGCAAAACGCTCCTCGTCGCCGCGCACCAGCATGAACATTTGGCTGGTCATGTATTTGTCGGAGAAGTCGACCTTCTCCATCCGGTCCTCGCGAATGGTGATGCCTGTCATGCCGACATCATACTGGCCGTCGGACACCGCCTGGATCATCGCGTCCCAGGAGATATTCTGATATTCGATCGTCGCGTTCAGCCGCTTGCCGATCTCTTCCATCGCGTCATATTCCCAGCCGATCTGCTCGCCGGTCGACGGATCGAGAAACTGCAGCGGCGGATAGGCATTCTCGGTCACCACCGTGATCGTGCGGCCTTCCAGATCGGGCAGATCCATGGCCATCGCACCGCTTGCCGCGCCGGCCGCCATAACCGATGCGGCCGCTGCCGTCATTACCCATCGCCGTGTGAACATCGCACTTACTCCCTGTCGTATTGTGAGGTGCCCCGTCCCCGGAGGCGGACGGGCAAAGGCCGACAGTGGCCCGGAAACGGATGGCAGGCAAGGGCGTCTTGTGCGGTGCCGCAAACGAAAAGGCGGACCTTCCGGCCCGCCTTCGCGTCGTCCCCCGCTTGCGCGGTTATGCCGTCGGCTGCCGCCTTATTCCTTGGTTTCCGCCTCAGCGGCTGCCGCTGCTTCCGCCTCGGCCGCCTTTGCGGCTTCGGCTGCTTCCTCGGCGGCCTTTTCGGCGGCGAGGGCCTGGGCGGCGGCAACCTTTTCAGCCTCGATGCGCGCGCGCTCTTCGGCCAGCGCCTGACGCTCGGCCTCGTTCAGCTTGCGGGCGCGGGCGCCGGTGTTCTCGGCGATGCGGGCCTTTTTGCCGCGCAGGCCGCGCATGTAATAGAGCTTGGCGCGGCGGACCTTGCCGCGGCGGACGACCTCAACGGCCTCGACCAGCGGCGAGAACAGCGGGAAGACACGCTCGACGCCTTCGCCATAGGAAATCTTGCGGACGGTGAAGTTCTCGTTGAGGCCCGAACCGGCGCGCGCGATGCACACGCCCTCATAGGCCTGAAGACGCGTGCGCTTGCCTTCGGTCACGCGGACCTGAACGCGCACGGTGTCGCCGGGCGAGAAATCGGGAAAGGTGCGCTTTTCGCTGATTTTGGCGGCCTGCTCGGCCTCGAGCTGACGGATGATGTCCATCTCGACTGTCCTTCTTGTTCTTTTGAACCGCCAGAGCGCTCGCTGGGGTGCACAATCGCCGTCGATGCGGTCTCATCGTGCAGCCTGGCCCGGATTTGGTCCCGGACCGGAGCGGTGGTCATGCCCGTAGTTGCTGTAAAGACTTCGGTTTGTCCGAAATTCCGCGCGCTCATACATGACTAAGGGTGATTTGTCACCCGTCTGATGGCGGTTTTTTGCGCGCCTGCGCTTGCCAGAGGTCGGGGCGGCGCGCCTTGGTCAGCGCTTCGGCTCGTTCGCGCCGCCATGCATCAATTCTGGCATGGTTGCCCGATGTCAGCACATCGGGAATCGTCCGGCCTTCCCACTCGGTCGGTCTGGTGTAGTGCGGATGTTCGAGCAGCGCGGCTTCGAAGCTCTCCGTCTCACCGGACGCGGCATTGCCCATCACGCCGGGCAGCAGTCGAACAACCGCGTCGAGCAGCACCTGCGCCGCGATTTCGCCGCCCGAGAGCACATAGTCCCCGATTGACACCTCGGTAAGTTGCCGCGCCTCGATCACCCGCTCGTCGACGCCCTCAAACCGACCGCAGACGATGACGACGCCGGGGCCGGCGGCCAGATCGCGGACCATCTCTTGAGTCAGCGGCTTACCGCGCGGGCTCATCAGGAGGCGCGGGCGTCTGTCTTCTGTCGACGACACGTGATCGATGGCCTTGGCGAGAATGTCGGGCCGCAGGACCATGCCGGCGCCGCCGCCCGCGGGCGTGTCGTCGACGCTGCGATGCCTGTCGGTGGCGAAATCGCGGATCTGCGTGACGTCGAGCGACCAGGCCCCCGACGCGAGCGCCTTGCCGGCCAGCGCCTGGCCCAGCGTGCCGGGAAACATGTCCGGATAGAGCGTCAGGACGGATGCCTTGAAACTCATGACGCTTCGTCCTCTTCGGGCCGGGCAATGATCTCGCCCGGCGGGACCAGCGTCAGGCGCCCGGCGCCCATGTCGATCTCCGGCACGATGGCTCGCGTGAACGGATAGAGTTCGGTGCGGCCGCCGTCCGCCGGGCGCACCTCGATCATGTCGTCGGCGCCGAAATTGTGGACCGCGACAACCGAGCCCAAATGCGTGCTGTCCTTGCCAACCGCCTCCAGCCCGACCAGATCGTCGATGAAGAACTCGTCGTCTTCCAGTTCGCCATCGGGCAGTTGCGACCGGTCGACAAATAGCTCGGTTCCGTTGAGCGCTTCGGCCGCTTCGCGGCCATCGACCTGCCTGAAGCGGACGACGACCACCGTCTTGGCCGACCGGATGTCGGCCACGGTGAACATGGCGCCATCCTTGCTGAACAGCGGGCCATAGTCGCCGAGCGCCAGGGGATCACCGGTATGGGATTTGACGCGCACCTCGCCGCGCACCCCATGGGGCGCGCCGATCACGCCCATCAGGACGGGGTTGGCCGGTTTCGTGCTCATGGGTTTGCGATAGTCGCTTTTGTGCTGCGCGCCAAGCGCCCGGCCGGCTGCATGCCGTCAAGCAAGCGGTAACCGGGCCGGCCTAGACTGTGTCTATGAACCAAGCGCTTCTGCCTGCACGACCGGACCTGATCGCCGCGCGCAAGGCATGGTTGGACAAGCTTGCAGGCGAACGGCGGCTGGCCGCCAACACGGTCGAGGCCTATGAACGCGACACGCGGCAGTTCCTGCATTTTCTGGCCGATCATCAGGGCGGCGCACCTGGCCTCAAACAGGTGGCGGACCTCAAGCCGATGGATCTGCGCGCCTTTCTGACGCGGCGGCGGGCGCAGGGCGTGGGCACGCGGACGCTGGGCCGGAATCTGGCGGCGGTGCGCTCCTTCCTTCGTTATCTCGAAAAAGAAGGTCTGGCGAATGCTGCGGCGGCCACCGCAATGCGTGCGCCGCGGCAGCCCAAGTCGCTCCCCAAGCCGCTGACGGCGGGCGATGCGGTGCGCACGGTCGACGTAGACGAACAGCTCAATGACCAGCCATGGATTCGCGCCCGGAACGCGGCCGTGCTGACACTGCTTTATGGCTGCGGGCTGCGGATCGGCGAGGCACTGGCGCTCGATGGCGGCGATCTGCGCGATCCTTCGGCCCGCTCGATCGCGGTGACCGGCAAGGGCGGCAAGACGCGCATGGTTCCGCTGCTGCCCGTCGTCTTCGAGGCGGTCGATGCGTACCGCGACCTCTGCCCCTACGATCTTTCGGCCGGCACGCCCCTGTTCCGGGGTGCACGCGGCGGTGCGCTGCAACCTGCCGTCCTGCAACGGGACATGCGACGCCTTCGCGGGGCGCTCGGCCTGCCCGACACGGCGACGCCGCACGCGCTGCGCCACTCCTTTGCAACCCACCTTCTGGGGTCTGGGGGCGATCTGCGCACCATTCAGGAGTTGCTGGGCCATGCCAGCCTGTCGACCACGCAGGTTTACACGGGCGTCGACGCTGAGCGCCTGCTCGAAGCGTGGCGGGCGGCCCATCCCCGCGCCTGATGGCCAGTGTTCGCCAGCCGTTAACAATGGCGTTTAACCGAAACGTCGTCACTGCCGGCTAGTCTGGCGGTCATGGAAAACCTTGCTCCCCATGCCGCAACGCTCGCCGACAGGCTGAGCGGTCCCGCGCTGAAACTGATCGCTGCGATCAACATCGCGTTCGCTGCTCTCCTGCTGTTGACGATCATGTCGGTCGGCGCGCGCGCTCAGGAAGGCGACTTGGCCGCCTGCACGGGTGTCAATCTGCTTGACCAGATGGCCGAGACCAACCCCGACGCGTATCGCGCGGTTCTGGCGGAGGGCGCCGAGACACTCAATGGCGATGCGATCCTGTTCCGGATCGAAAAGGACGGTGTCGCGCCGTCCCACCTGTTCGGCACGATGCACATGACCGATCCGCGCGTCACCGAACTGCCGGCCTTTGCGCAGGACGCTTTCGAGGCATCAGACATCGTCGTCATCGAAACGACCGAGATTCTCGATCCGGCCAAGTCGCAGATGGCGCTGCTGGCACGGCCGGAACTGACCATGTTCACCACCGATGAGCGGATCAGCGACTTTCTCGATGCCGGCGACGAAGCCGTGCTGCGCGAAGGCCTGGCAAGCCGCGGGGTGCAACTGGCGCTGGTCGACCGGATGAAACCCTGGCTGGTTGCTGCCATGGTGGCGCTGCCCGAATGCGAAATGGCGCGCAAGCAGGCCGGCCAGCCGATCCTCGACATCGCTCTGGCCAAACGCGCCAAAGCGGCCGGCAAGGATTTGGTCGGGCTCGAAACCATCGTTGAACAGCTCGAAGCGATGGCCTCGCTGCCGATGGCCTTTCATGTGCGCGGCCTGGTCGAAACGATCGCGCTCGGCGACCGCATCGACGATGTGATCGAGACGATGATCGCGCTTTATGACGACGGGAAAACAGGGCTGGTCTGGCCCGTTTTGCGGGTCTTCACGCCCGAGGCGGTCAGCGACGATGGCGGCTATGCCGCGTTCGAGCAGACCATGGTGACGGCACGCAACCGCACCATGGCCGAACGCTCGCTTCCCATTTTGGAAGCGGGCGGAGCCTTCATCGCGGTCGGTGCCTTGCACCTTCCGGGCGAAGAGGGTCTGGCCAAGCTTTATGAGGACGCGGGCTTCACGGTGACGCCGGTTTACCGGTGAAGCAAAGTCATTCGCCGTGACCGGCAATCATCATCGCTTCATAGGCCAGGCGCTCGGTCTTCTTCATCCGCTCGGACTCCGATTTGAGCTGCCCGCAAGCGGCGAGAATGTCCTGCCCGCGCGGCGTGCGGATCGGTGAGGCGTAGCCGTTGGCGTTGATGAAGTCGGCGAACTTCTCGATCTGCTCCCAGTCCGAACATTCATGGTCCGAGCCGGGCCATTTGTTGAACGGAATCAGATTGATCTTGGCCGGAATGCCCTTGAGGAGCCGCACCAGTTCCTTGGCGTCGGCGAGAGAATCGTTGACGCCCTTGAGCATGACATATTCGAACGTGATGCGGCGCGCGTTCGACAGGCCTGGATAGGCGCGGCAGGCAGCCAATAGGTCGGCGATCGGGTACTTCTTGTTGATCGGCACCAGCACGTCGCGCAACTCGTCGGTGACCGCATGCAGCGAGATGGCCAGCATGGCGCCGGTTTCCTCGCCGATCGGCCCGATCTTCGGCACGACGCCCGAGGTCGACAGCGTCACGCGGCGCTTGGACAGCGACAGCCCGTCGCCGTCGGTGAAGACCTGCATCGCATCGCGCACATGCTCGTAATTGTAGAGCGGCTCGCCCATGCCCATCATGACGATGTTGGAGACCTTGCGGCCTTCGGACGGCACGATCGCGCCGGCCGGCGTGTCGGCGTCGGGGAAGTCGCCAAGGCGCTGGCGGGCGAGCATGACCTGCGCGACGATCTCGCCGGCGGTCAGGTTGCGGACAAGCGTCTGCGTTCCGGTGTGGCAGAATGTGCATGTCAGCGTACAGCCGACCTGGCTGGAGACGCACAGCGTGCCGCGCCCTTCCTCGGGGATATAGACAGTCTCGATCTCCACCGGCTTGCCGGCTCCGCGCGGCGGAAACCGCAGCAGCCATTTTCGCGTGCCGTCGGCTGAAATCTGCTCTTCGACGATCTCGGGACCGGCGATGGTAAAGCGCTCCGCGAGCGTCGCCTTGAGGTCCTTGGAGACATTGCTCATGGCGGCGAAATCATCGACGCCGCGTACATAAAGCCAGTGCCAGAGCTGCTGCACGCGCATCCTGATCTGCCGGTCGGGCACACCGGCATCCCGCAGCGTCTCACCCAGCCTTGCCCGCGTCAGCCCGATCAGCGACGGCCGGTCGTCGATGCGGCTCGCCTGCGCGGCGGCAAGCTGCGCGCGCGTCGCATTGTCGCGAATGTCCAGTGAAATGGCCATGGCTTCGGACCGGATTGCGTCGGTGAAGCCCGCATATGTGCCATAGGGGGGCAAAGCGCAAGAAAAAGCCGGACCCGAAGGCCCGGCCATTGCGGAACGGGACGGTGCAGAGCGGCGCTACTGGCAGTTCTGGATCGCGTTCAACGCCGCGGTCACGCCCGACAGCGAATACTCGTAGGTGGTGTTTGTGCCGCGTCTCGAGGTGGCCTGAACCACCATGCGCGAGCCGGCCCGCATGGCGGCAACCAGCGCGGGATCCTGTGCTGCGTTCTCGGTCCAGGCGGTGTTATCCTTGGAGAAGAAGGAGAAGGGCGCGCCGTCCACGGTCACCGTGACTTTCGAGTTTTCCTGGAGCGTGTACCCGGCGATGAACTGCGGCTCGAATGTCACGTTCTGGCCGCCCCGCTGGGTGACGACGAAGAAATTATCCCCGTGATTGACGTTCGAGGGCTGCTTGGTCAGCGGTACCGAAACCACATAGCAGACCTTGGCGCCGCCGGACTGATAGCTGATGGCACCCCAGTCGTTGAACTGTCCGATGCGCTGCGGCGTCTGCGCCTGCGCGGCAACGCTGCCGGTCATCAGCGCGCCCACCGCAACCGCTGCCGCCAAAACTCGTTTTCCGTGAAGCATTGTTCCTACCAAGTTCAAAAGGGGCCGCATAAGCGTGTCAGCGCCCGGATTTGTGCCGTTCGCCCATGGCTTCCACCTTGGAAAAAGATGGTTACCAAACCATGAACGGGACCGGCTTTCGACCTTCGTGCCGACCATGTCACGGCATCGCTTCGAAGCGCCATCCGGACGTCTTGGTGCCCGCCTATCGGCCTTGACGAATGCCTGTCGCCGAGGAAAACGGCAACAGTTTGACTTTGTTCGGCAAATTGGGCGAATGTCGCCCGATCGGCGCAAATGGTCGGGCTGACGGGCCCTTCACAGCGCGCATGGCGCCCTTGTCCGGAACCAGAGACTGTTTGATGAGCGAACAGCACAAACACTTCGCTGCGCTGGCCGCGCGCGTGGCCAGCGACCGCGACAAGACCGCCTTCGCCGAACTGTTCGATTTCTTCGCGCCGCGCATCAAGGCCTATCTGCGCCGTCTGGGCCTCGAGGACAGCGCCGCCGAGGACATCGCCCAGGAAGTGATGATCGTGCTGTGGCACAAGGCCAACCTGTTCGATCCGACCAAATCGTCGCTGTCGACCTGGCTCTTCCGCGTTGCCCGCAACCGGCGCATCGACGCGTTGCGGCGGGACAAGTCCGGGCTTCTCGATCCGGACGAACCGATGCTGCGGCCGGCCGAATCACCGCTTCCCGATGCTATGATGGATGGCGAACAGCGCGATGCGCGCGTGCGCGATGCACTGGCGGGCCTGCCGGAGGAGCAGGTGGGGCTGATCCGCATGGCATTCTTTCTGGGCTATTCGCACAGCCGGATCGCCGACGAGACCGGACTGCCCCTCGGCACCGTCAAGTCTCGCATCCGACTCGCCTTCGGACGGCTGCGGCGGGCGCTGGAAAAGGACGAACAGGTCGACACCGATTTCTGAGCGCTCCTCTTGCTTGCCCCTCCCAAATCTCTGGCGTAAGCATCGGCGATGGTTTCGATTCGCGTTTGCCTTGCCGTTTCCGTCGCCTGTTCCTCGGCGCTTCTCGCCGCATGCTCGACCGGCGGCGATGTCGGCTTGAGCCAAAGCGCCCAACCCCGTCTCGCCAGCTGGAGCTGCACCGGCGGTGTGCGGCTGACGATTGCGCGCACCGGCTCCGGGCTCGATATCACGGACAGCCGCGGCGTCACCGTCAGCCTGCCGCCCGATCCGCCCGGACAGCGCGAACGCTATGCCAAGACGGGCTATGCGCTGGTGTTCGCCGGCCGGACGGCAAGCTGGTTCGCCAGCGGCCAGGCGCCAACGGATTGCCGTCGCTGAGCGACGTTTGCGCGCATAAGGAGGCCCGCCTTTCCCGTTCGCCGGTCAACATCGGATCGAGGACACGCCGGTTCTGCGGCCTGGTCTCCGCGTCCGACCAATTGACGATGGCACGATGCCGCATGACCTTTGACGCAGTGCGAAACGCGCTCTAGAACATTTCCAATCGCGACGCTGCGCGAGCCGTTTGGCAGCGCGCACCAATCAGAACGATCAAGGGGAAAGCGGTGTCTTCAACCAGCTCGTCGGCCACCAGCGGCCAGGCCAGGAAGGAACGGCCGCTTTCGCCGCATCTGTCCATCTACAAGCTGATCCCCAACATGATCGCCTCGATCATGCATCGCATCACGGGGGTCGCGCTCTACTTCGGCACCGTGCTGGTGGCCTGGTGGCTGATCGCGGCGGCGGCGGGTCCGGCCTATTTCGACTACGTCAACGGCTTCTTCGGCTCGCTCTTCGGCATGCTGATCCTTCTGGGATACACGTGGGCCCTGATGCATCACCTTCTGGGCGGCCTGCGGCATTTTGCCTGGGACGCGAGCAAGCTGATCAGCAAGCAAATGTCGACCAAGCTCGCCTATGCGACGTTCATCGGGTCGGGCGCGTTGACGCTTCTGGTCTGGCTGATCGCCATGCTGGTGCGCTGAGGAGATCTCCATGTCCATCAAAACACCGTTCAAGCGCGTCGAAGGCCTGGGATCGGCCAAGGACGGCACCGAGCATTTCTGGCGGCAGCGCCTGACCGCGCTGGCCAATGTGCCGCTGATCATCGCCTTTGTCTGGATCGTCGTTTCGCTCAACGGCGAGGACCACGCCACCGTCGCCGCGACCTTCGCCAACCCGTTCGTTGCGGTGGTCATGCTGCTGGTGATCGTGTCGGCGCTTTATCACGCCAAGCTCGGCATGCAGGTGGTCATCGAGGATTACATCCATGGCGAGCTGGCGAAGTATGCGCTGCTCGTCGCCAACATCTTCTTCACCTTCGGGATCGCGGTTCTCGCGGTCTTCGCCATACTGAAAATGGGTTTCGGAAGCTGACATGAGCACCAACGGCAATGCAGCGGCACCGGGCGTCAACGGCCGGGCCTACACCTACGAGGACCACAAGTTCGACGTGGTGGTCGTCGGCGCCGGCGGCGCGGGCCTGCGCGCGACACTGGGCATGGCCGAGCAGGGCCTCAGAACCGCCTGCATCACCAAGGTGTTTCCGACCCGGTCGCACACGGTCGCCGCCCAGGGCGGCATCGCTGCGAGCCTGCAGAACATGACGCCCGACAGCTGGCAGTGGCACATGTACGACACCGTCAAGGGTTCGGACTGGCTCGGCGATGTCGATGCCATGCAGTATCTCGCCATGGAAGCGCCCAAGGCGGTCTATGAGCTCGAGCATTACGGTGTGCCGTTCTCGCGCACCGAGGACGGCCGCATCTATCAGCGCCCGTTTGGCGGGCACATGCAGAATTATGGCGAAGGGCCGCCGGTGCAGCGCACCTGCGCGGCTGCCGACCGCACCGGTCACGCGATCCTGCACACGCTTTATGGCCAGTCGCTGCGCAACAATGCGCAGTTCTATATCGAGTATTTCGCCATCGACCTGATCATGGACGAGGACGGCACCTGCACCGGTGTCGTCGCCTGGAACCTCGATGATGGCACCATCCACCGCTTTTCGGCCAAGATGGTCGTGCTGGCCACGGGCGGCTATGGCCGGGCCTATTTCTCGGCCACATCCGCGCATACCTGCACGGGCGACGGCAACGGCATGATCGCGCGCGCCGGCCTGCCGCTTCAGGACATGGAATTCGTGCAGTTCCACCCGACCGGCATTTACGGCGCGGGCTGCCTGATCACGGAAGGCGCGCGCGGCGAAGGCGGCTATCTGGTCAATTCCGAAGGCGAGCGCTTCATGGAGCGCTATGCGCCGTCAGCCAAGGATCTTGCCTCACGCGATGTCGTCTCGCGCTGCATGACGATGGAAATCCGCGAGGGGCGCGGCGTCGGCAAGAGCGCCGACCATATCCACCTTCATCTCGATCACCTCGACCCGGCGGTTCTGGCCGAGCGCCTGCCTGGCATCTCCGAAAGCGCCAAGATCTTCGCCGGCGTCGATGTCACGAAAGAACCGATCCCGGTGCTGCCGACCGTGCATTACAATATGGGCGGCATTCCCACCAATTATTGGGGCGAGGTGCTGAACCCGACCGATGGCGACCCCGATGCGATCGCACCCGGCCTGATGGCCGTCGGCGAAGCGGGCTGTGCATCCGTGCATGGTGCGAACCGTCTGGGTTCGAACTCTCTGATCGATCTGGTCGTGTTCGGCCGCGCCGCAGCCATCCGCGCCGGCGAAGTGGTCGATCGCGAAGCATCCGTTCCCGCTATCAATCGCGCATCCTGCGACAAGATCATGGAGCGGTTCGACCGGTTGCGGCATGCCAACGGCGGTACGCCCACAGCCGATCTGCGCCTGAAGATGCAGACGATCATGCAGGAGGACGCCGCGGTCTTCCGCACGCAGGAGACGCTCGAACAGGGTTGCCGCCGCATGGACGCAGCTCATCAGGAGCTGGCCGACATCAACGTCACCGACCGGTCGATGATCTGGAACTCGGACCTTGTCGAGACGCTGGAACTGGAAAACCTGATGGCCTGCGCGATCACCACGGTCTATGGCGCCGAGGCGCGCAAGGAAAGCCGCGGCGCCCATGCGCGCGAGGATTTCAAGGACGGCCCGATGGCGGGCCGCGACGACGAGAACTGGCGCAAGCACACGCTGGCATGGATGAGCGAGACCGGCGCGGTGACGCTCGACTATCGGCCCGTGCACACCGATCTTCTGGCCGAGGGCATCGAACTGGCCAAGATCGCGCCGAAAGCGCGGGTGTACTGACGCCTTCTGGTTCGGGTGCCGTTTGAGCAGCCGCCGCGGCGTGTCCGGCCCGGTAAACCCGATGGCAATGTCTTGGACATAAGGTATTCCGGTACGAGCCGGGAGCCAATTGTCGATGACGCCTCAGACCACGCCTACACCACAAGCCGAGCCCAAGGCCGAAGCTGGCGGATGGGTGTTCGGCGTGACGCTGACGCTGCTCGGATTTGGCTTCATGCTGCAAAGCCTGTTCGACACCGACATTGTCGTATCGGGCCTCGTTGTTCTGGTGGTCGTTGTGCTGGTCAGCCTTGCCGGGCCCCGCCGAGGGCATAGCGGTCGCGCGCGCTTTCTGCCGCCGCTGGTCCTGTTTCCGACGCTCCTTTTTGCGTTCTGGTACTTCATTACCATCAAGTTCGGCCAGTTCGGGCTTGGCCCGATCCTGTTTCATGCCAATCATGGCGTCGAAGCGAATGGGGTCGTCAGCGAGTTCCTTCGTACCTCGCGCATGCCGCTGGCCTATATCGTCGCGCTTGTCGTCGGGCTCTGGCTGCTGTCGGCGACCGACCACCGGTTTCGCCGGATCGACCGGCTGGCGGTTCTGCCGCTGCTGGTCTTCAACCCGTTCACCTGGTCGGTGGCAGAATATGTCGGCGATGCCGAAGCCGCCTCGCACAAGGTGGTCTATAGCGGCTATGCCGAGATTGGCGATCTGCGAAAGGCTGGAACCAACAGGCCAAACCTTCTGATCCTCTACCTTGAAAGTAGCGAGCGGACTCTGATGGATGAAGGCGCGTTCGGCGACGTGATGGCGCCGCTTGCGCCGTTTGCCGCACGCGGGATCGAGCTGACCAATCTGCACGAGGCGGCGCTGACGAACTGGACGCTGGCCGGACAGGTTGCCTCCCAATGCGGTGTTCCGCTGATGCCGCTCGGCCTTGTGACACACAACAGCTTTCATTTCGTCGATGACGCGTTCCTTCCGGGCGCCACCTGCCTTGGCGATCTTCTGGCGCGTGACGGCTATGAAACCGCCTTCATGAAGGCCGCTCCGTTGCGTTTCGCCGGAACGGACATCTATGCGGCCGGCCATGGCTGGCAGCGACGCCTTGGTTTCGCGGAACTGCGCGACCAGATTCGTGCCGGCACGATCGAATGGGGCATGAACGACGAAGATCTCTACGACGCCGTCTATCGCGAAATCGAAGATATGGCGGCCACAGGCCGCCCCTATGCGCTCGCGGCGACGAATATTGGTGGCCACGCGCCGCATGGTTATGTGTCGCCCAAGTGTCGGACACGGCCCTCGGTCACGCGCTATACCAATCGCATGCTGCAGTCCTACCGCTGCACCCACGAACTGGCCGCCGAACTGCTTGATCGGCTCGAGGTGTCCGGCCATCTCGACAACACCGTTGTCGTGATCCAGAGCGACCATCTGGCGATGCGCAACTCGGTCTACCGGCAACTCAAGCAGCGTGAACGGCGCAATTTCTTTGTCGCCTTCGGCCCCGGCATTGAACCGCAGGCGATCGACCGCGACGCGACCATGATGGACGTCTATCCGACCATCCTCGAGCTGCTCGGCTATGCTCCACCCGATGGCCGTGCCGGGATCGGTGTCTCGCTTCTTTCGCAGAACCATACGCTGATTGAAACGCACGGATTGCCTGCGCTGGACAAGGCGATCTACGGCGATACGGCACTGCGCAACCGGCTCTGGGGCGTCGAGGCGGGCAGTTGATGCGCGTCGATTTGGCCAAGGCACCGGACCATTTGCGCAGTTGCAACATTGCAGCGCAACATCGATAACATGCGCACTTTGGTCCAACTTGATCGGGCCGTGCCGCTTCACTATCACCTCCGGTGAGCGGCCCACGCGATACGTGGTCAGCGCCGGTTGCAGAAAAGAGACAAGGCAGATGGTCGAACTCGCCCTACCCAAGAACTCCCAGATTGAACCCGGCCGGTCCTGGGCCCGCCCGGAAGGGGCCAACAATCTCAAAGAGTTCCGCATCTATCGCTGGAGCCCGGACGACGACCAGAACCCGCGGCTCGACACCTATTACGTGGATCTCGACGATTGCGGGCCGATGGTGCTCGACGGCCTTTTGTGGATCAAGAACAGTGTCGACCCCACACTGACGCTGCGCCGGTCGTGCCGCGAGGGGATTTGCGGCTCCTGCGCGATGAACATTGACGGCACGAACACGCTGGCCTGCACCAAGGGCATGGACGAGGTGGAAGGGCCGGTGAAGGTCTATCCGCTGCCGCATTTGCCGGTGGTCAAGGATCTGGTGCCGGACCTGACCAATTTCTACGCCCAGCACCGGTCGATCGAGCCCTGGCTGAAGACGACGACGCCGGCGCCCGAAAAGGAATGGAAGCAGAGCCATGAGGACCGCGCCAGGCTGGACGGGCTCTACGAGTGCATCCTGTGCGCCTGCTGCTCGACCTCGTGCCCGTCCTATTGGTGGAACGGTGATCGCTATCTGGGTCCGGCCGTTTTGCTGCAGGCCTATCGCTGGCTGATCGACAGCCGCGACGAGGCCACCGGCGAGCGTCTTGACCATCTGGAAGACCCGTTCCGGCTTTATCGGTGCCACACCATCATGAACTGCACCCAGGCCTGCCCGAAGGGGCTCAACCCGGCCAAGGCGATCGCCGAGATCAAGCAGATGATGGTCGAGCGGCGCGTCTAGCTGTCGAGGCTCCTCATCAAGCCGTTTCGTCGGCCAGGGCAGGCTCTTCTCGACGACCTAAACCGGCCGCACGGGCGATGGCAGCGCCGGTTGCCGTGGCGCGGTAGAACGCGCGGGGCGGCCGGGCATCCTCGTCCACGGTTCGGGTGACCCAGCCGCACGCTTCCAGTGACTTCAGCGCCTGCGACAGGGCCCTATTGGTGATAGAACCCAACGATCGGCCGATCTCATTGAACGTCCGCGGCGCCTGAAGGAGCGCCAGGACAGGAACGGTCCAGGCCCGGCGCAAAAGGTCCCGGTGCTGTGATGCCGCTGCGGCCTCGGTGAGCGCATGGGCTATGGCGGCAATATCCTGACCAGCCCCGGTCAGGCGGAACTCGGGTCGGAGCGGATGGCCGTGCCCGGGATTGCGCTCGACAAGGCCGAGATCAACCAGGTGCGTCACGCTCTGCGCAAAGGCTGTGCGGCCGGCGCCGGTCGCCGTCAGAAGTTGTGCCTGGCGGCCCGGAACACCCTCGTGCAGGGCGGCAAGGATGGCGAGGGACCACGCCTTGCAGGTGATGTTGACAAGCGTCTCTATGTCCATAAAATATACTTAGCATAATTTTAAAACAAAGGAAGACGCCATGCCGGTCGTGACGCTGGACGAAACAATCACCATCGCGATCTCCGTGCGCGACCGACATGCCAGCGCCAAATGGTATGGCGAGATGCTGGGGTTCGAGCCGCTCTACCATGCCGACGATGTGGGCTGGAGCGAGCTGACGACGTTCTCGAAGGGCGTCACGCTCGGCCTAGGTGAGCAGGCCGAACCGGCGCCGGGCAATTCGGTCCCGGTGTTCGGCGTCGCCGACATCCAAACCGCACGCCGGAACCTTGAAGCGGTCGGCGTGGCCTTTGACGGTGAGACGATCGAGATTGAAGGGATGGTTCGTACCGCAACTTTTTATGACCCGGACGGCAACGCGCTGATGCTGGCCGAGGATCTGACAAAGGCAGCCTGACCGTTTCGATCCCGCCCTCCGCCTATTGGCCGTTTGTCGGGTTGCCGGCGATGCGGTCAATGAAGGCGGCGATCGTATCGAACATCTCCTCGCCGCGGTCGATCCAGATGTGTCCGCCATCGGGATAGACGATCAGTTCGGCGCCGTCGACCATCGCTGCGATGTGCCGCGCGCTCGTGGCGGTGTCGAAGAAATCATCCTCCGCCGAGATCGCCAGCGTCGGAACGGCAATGCGGCGGACGTCGAGATCGCCATAGCCGCCGACCGTGTCCGCCCACAGCCCTTCGGCGCGTGCGCTTACCGGCAGGATGCTGCGCCTTATGCGCGCCACGCGGGCCTGCTCGGCCGGCCCGGCGGCCGCAACCAGCGCCGGGTCGGTCGCCAGGACCAGGCGGGTCATCCGGTCCGGCATGAATTCGATCGCCAGCCAGAACAGAAAGTCGGAACGGAGCGCCGCCTTGACGAGGCGCTCCTGCAATGGCGACCAAGGTTCGACCGGCGGGAAACCGGGAACGTCGAGGGCGGGTACGATCAGGATGAGTGCGGCGCAGCGCTCGGGATGGCGGATCGCGAAGGCCAATGCGGAGCGCGCGCCAGCCGATCCGCCAATGACGGCGACCTGGTCGAGACCCAGCGCATCGAGAAGATCGACGAAAACGTCGGCCTGCGCATTGGCGGACCGGTCCTCCGGCGCGGGCGACCCGGGATAGCCGAAGCGCGACGGCGATATGATCTTGTAACCGCGCTCGGCGAGCGGCCCGGCCATGGACAATCCCTGATCGTAGCCGCCGCCCGAACCATGGATCATCAGGACGGGCGGACCGTCGCCGGCCTCCGCATAGGCGAGTGGTCCGCTGCGCGTTTGGACCTGCTCGACGGCAAAGGCGGCGAGCCGCTGCTGCGCCTCGACCAGGGCGGCCTGATATCGGGCATACAATGTGCCGGCGCCGATCACGGCAACGGCAAGCAGAGCCGCAAAAACCCAACGGGTGATCTTCATGGGCGCCCGCCTCCGTCCGTTCGCATCTCGCGCCTAGCACAGCGGGCACAATCGAGCGTTGACCGGCGTCAAGGCGGTCGGACGCCGCTATTCCCGACGCAGGATCCGGTCGACCAGGAAGTTCCCCGCCCGGCTGGCCTGATAGGCGTCCATCATCGCCTGCTTGTCATAGTCTGTATGCAGCCAGTCGCGAAAGGCGATGCCGCGTTCGCGATGGGCGTCCCTGTAGGCTTCGATGAACGCGTCGAGCATGCCGGTCTTGGCGTGCTTGAGATGCAGGTAGCGGAACGACAATTGGGCCAAAGCGTCCTCAGGCGGGCGGCCGGACCAGAGCATGTAGAGCGCAGCCCCGAGCCCGGCGCGGTCGGCCCCGGACTTGCAGTGCATCAGAAGCGGTTTTTCGGCGCGCTCGAAGATCGCAAAAAGCGCTTCGACCTCTTCGATCGTTGGCGGCATGCGCGAATAGAGCCGTGTGTCGATCATCTCGATGCCGGCGCGGGCGCATTCTTCCCGTTCGAGAAAGTAGGACCCCCAGCGCGACGGACCGCGCAGATTGATGATCGTCCGGATGCCGCGGCGTTCGAGATCGGCGATCTGGGCCGGCGATGGCTGGTTCGAGCGCCAGACGCCCGGAGCGATTTCGTGCAGATTACGCCACCAAAGCCGCAGGAAGCCGTGATCGAACACCATCATGTCCAGATGGGCCCAGCGCCGGTTGGCGGGCTTCGACAGATCGGCGGTCCAGCCGTCACGCCAGATCGAGTGTCGTTCGCGAAAGGCGGATTTCAATCGGGCTATCAAGACAGTCGTGCCGCCGGTGGTTGGACCGCGCGGCCTGCTTAGGCACGAGGGCGCCATTTGGCAAGCGGCGGGCGGTTGCCGCAACTCACACAGAAGTGTTCCGGCTTGAATTGCCTTGGCCGTGGGAGGGCGTATGTCGAGGGCAAAGATCGCAGGAGCCTCGATATGCCGAAAAAAGTCATCCACGCCACCTTCCTTGCCGCCGCCTTGGCCATCGGCGCCATGACGGGCGCGGCCCAGGCCGAAACCCGGTCGCTGATCGTCGCCGGCGGGTGCTTCTGGTGTGTCGAGAGCGATTTCGATCATGTGGCCGGTGTCGTCGGCACCACATCGGGCTATGCGGGCGGCGAGATGCAGAACCCGACATACCGGAACCACGGCCGGCACCGCGAGGTTGTCAAGATCGACTATGATTCGTCGGTGACCGACTACAAGACGCTGATCGAGATTTTCCTGCGCACCGTCGATCCGCTGGATGCGGGCGGTCAGTTCTGCGATCGCGGACGCTCTTACGAAACGGCGATCCACGCGGCCACTGATGCCGAAAAAGTGGTGGCGCTCGAGGCGGTCAATGCAGCCTCGCAGGCTCTTGGACAAGGGGTGGTCATCCCCGTCGAGGGGCCGGTGACATTCTGGCGGGCCGAGGACTATCACCAGGATTATTATCTGAGCCAGGAACGCCAGTTGACGCGGTTCGGCTATGTCACCCGTGCCGAGGCTTACAAGGGCTATCGAAAGGGCTGCGGCCGCGACGCGCGCGTCAGGCAAATCTGGGGCGCCGAGGCCTATCGGGGCGTCGACAAGCCCGCGACCTGACTCGCGCGAACGCCGCCAAATCTTTGCCACGGCGGCATTTTTTGACGTTCACGCGCCAAATGTGCCGGTCGGCATTTTCCAGCCATTGCCTCCTGTGTCATAATAACGATACAGAAATCGGCAAGGGACGGTGAACTGCGACCGGACATCATGGCCATGGAAATCCAGAGCGCGACTTCAACCTTTGCGGGCGTGATCAACGGCCGCAGGGCCGGCACTGCCGCCGATGCAGACCCGCATATCGTCGACCAGCTCATCGCCGAACGCGGACAGACGCTGGTCAAGAGTCCCCTGTGGCCGGTGCTTCGCCCGGCGCTCTACAAGGTTCTGCACTACGACGAAGCCGTGCGCATGGCCGATGCCGTGGCTTCGATGAGCGGGCTGGATTGCTTCGGCCATATCAGCGATCTTCTGAAGCTCGATGTGCGCGTTCAGGGCAGCGGTCATCTGCCGTCGGAAGGCGCGTTCATTCTGGTTTCGAACCACCCGACGGGCATCGCCGATGGCGTGGCCGTCTACGACATGCTCAAGAACATTCGTCCCGACTTCATGTTCTTTGCCAACCGCGACGCGATCCGCGTCAACCAGCGGCTGGCCGAGATCATCATTCCGGTCGAATGGCGCGCCGACCAGAAGTCGCACGCCAAGAGCCGCGAAACGTTGGTGCAGACCAATGGCGCCTTCAAGGATGGCCGGGCCATCGTCCTGTTCCCGTCCGGGCGCATCGCCTACTGGTCGCACGGCGCGCTGCGGGAGCGGCCATGGATGGCCACCGGGATCCAGATGGCCAAACGCTATCACGTGCCGATCGTGCCGATGCACATGGAAGCGCGCAATTCGTGGCTGTTCTACCTTTTGGCGCACCGCAACCCGGAATTGCGCGACATGACGGTCTTTCATGAGCTGCTCAACAAGACCGGCAAGACCTTCTCGATGACGCTCGGCGCGCCGATTCAGCCGGAGACGCTCAACGGCGACGTACAGGACCTGACGGTCCAGCTGCAGGATCATTGCGAGCACACGCTCAAAGACGATCCCGGTGCCGTTTTCTCAGCCTGAACGCGTCGCTTTCGCGGGTCGCGTTGGCCGGCAGGCCGCGTTGAAAAACGGCGCCGGCCTGTCCGCAGGTCAGGCGATCTTCTGTCCGGTCTTGGCCCAGTCGGCGAGAAATGCGTCGAGCCCCTTGTCGGTCAGCGGATGCTTGACGAGCGCCTTGAGTGTCGCCGGCGGGACCGTCGCCACATCGGCGCCGAGCAAGGCCGCTTCCTTGACGTGATTGACCGTGCGGATCGAGGCGGCAAGGATTTCGGTGTCGAATTCGTAATTATCGTAGATGGTGCGGATTTCCTCGATCAGCTCCATGCCGTCGATGGCCATGTCGTCCAGGCGGCCGATGAAGGGCGAGATGAACGTCGCGCCCGCCTTGGCGGCCAGAAGCGCCTGATTGGCAGAAAAGCACAGCGTGACATTGACCTGCTGGCCGCCCTGCGTGATCGCCCGGCAGGCTTTCAGCCCGTCCATGGTCAGCGGCAGCTTGATGCACACATTGTCGGCGATCTTGCCGAGAATGTCGGCCTCTTTCATCATGCCGTCGAAATCGGTCGCGGCGACTTCGGCCGACACCGGGCCGTCGACGATGTCGCAGATTTCCTTGGTGACCTCGGCGATGTCGCGCCCCGATTTCAGGATCAGCGAGGGGTTGGTTGTCACCCCGTCCAGCAGTCCGATATCGTTAAGCTCCCGGATTTCGCCAACGTCCGCCGTATCGACAAAGAACTTCATGATTCCTCTTCCCGCGTTCGTGTTATGCGGCCGCGCCGCCCTTTCGGGTTTCGTTTAGAACAATCCGGCGTCAAGGTCACGGGTGATGTCCGACGATTCGAAAAATGTGCCGCGGACCGTGTCGGTTCTGGTGCCGACGCCGTCGCCGGTGCCTTACACATATGCGCTGCCGGACGGCGTTTCGGCGGACCCGGGCGCGATCGTCCAGGTGCCGCTCGGACCGCGCCAGGTGGCCGGAATCGTCTGGGAGGTCGGGGATAACGGCAACGACATCGATCCCGCCAAGCTGCGCCCGGTCACGACGGTTTTCGATTGTCCGACGCTGACGCCGGACATGCGCCGTTTCATTGCGTGGGTGTCGCGCTACACGCTTTCGGCGCCGGGCATGGTGGCGCGCATGGTGCTGCGCGCCCCTGCGGCGTTCGAGCCGGAAGCGCCGGTCGCGGGCCTCGCGCTGACCGATGAACGCCCGCAGCGGATGACATCGGCGCGTGAGCGCGTGGTGGCGCTGGCTGCCGAAAGCAGCCCCATGGCGTGGACCCGTTCGGGCCTTGCCCATGCGGCCGGTGTCTCGCTTTCGGTGGTGGACGGGCTGGCTGCGGCCGGCACGTTCGAGGCCGTGACCCTGCCGCCCACAGCGATCGTGGCACCGCCCGATCCAAATCATGGCCCGCCGGACCTTCATGACAGTCAGGCGCGCGCGGCCGAGGCGTTGACGGGCGACATTCAGGCGGACCGGTTCGCCGCAACGCTGCTGGAAGGGGTGACGGGCGCGGGCAAGACCGAGGTCTATTTCGAGGCGATTGCGGCGGCCGTCAGCGCAGGCCGGCAGGTTCTGGTGATGCTGCCGGAGATCGCGCTGACGCAGGCCTTCATCGATCGGTTCGAAGCCCGTTTCGGCGCGCCGCCGGCGCCGTGGCATTCCGACCTGCCGCCGAAAACCCGCGAGAAGGTCTGGCGGCAGGTTGCCGAAGGATCGGTCGAGGTTGTCGCCGGCGCGCGTTCGGCGCTGTTTCTGCCGTTTGCCGATCTCGGGCTCGTCATCGTCGACGAAGAGCATGATGCCGCCTATAAGCAGGAGGATCGCGTCTATTACAATGCGCGCGACATGGCTGTCGTACGCGCCAAACTGGCCGATTGTCCGGTGGTGCTGGTCTCGGCCACACCATCGGTTGAAACCCGTCACAATGCGCTGGAAGGCCGCTACCGGCATTTGCGCCTTGACCGCCGCCACGCCGATGCGGCGCTGCCCGACGTCGCGCTTGTCGACATGCGCCAGAACCCGCCCGCCCGGGGCGGGTTCCTGTCACCGGTCCTGCTCGATGCGATGGCACAAACGCTCGAAAAGCAGGAACAGTCGCTCCTGTTCCTCAACAGGCGCGGCTATGCACCTTTGACGCTGTGCCGGGTGTGCGGACATCGCTTTGCCTGTGAGAACTGTTCGGCCTGGCTGGTCGAACACCGGTTCCGGGGCCAATTGCAGTGCCACCATTGCGGCCATCACGAGCCCGTCCCCGAAGCCTGCCCCGAATGCGGCACGTTCGACCATCTGGTGGCCTGTGGGCCGGGCATCGAGCGCATCGCCGAGGAAACGCTGACGCATTTCCCCGATGCGCGGGTGATCGTCCTGTCGTCGGACATGGCCGGCGGCGTCAAGCGGCTGCGGCTCGAGATGGAGGCGATCGCCAAGGGAGAGGCGGACATCATCATCGGCACGCAACTGGTCGCCAAGGGCCACAATTTCCCGCTTCTGACGCTGGTCGGCGTGGTCGATGCCGATCTGGGTCTGGCAAACGGCGATCCGCGCGCCGCAGAGCGAACGTTCCAGCTCTTGTCGCAGGTGACCGGACGCGCGGGCCGAACCGGCCGGCAAAGCCTTGGCCTGATTCAAACCTTCCAGCCTGACCATGCGGTTCTGAAAGCCTGCGCCAGCGGCGATGCGGAAGCGTTTTATGCCGCGCAACTGGCCGAACGTGAACGCGGGCGCATGCCACCCTTCGGCCGGCTGGCGGCGGTAATCGTGTCTGCAACCAACCGCCCTGACGCCGAGGCGCACGGACGGGCATTGCGTGCCGCTGCGCCCTCATCGAGCGACATTACGGTCTTGGGTCCGGCCGAGGCGCCGCTCGCCATGGTGCGCGGCCGCCACCGGTTCCGACTGCTGGTGCATGGTTCGGAACGCGCCGACATGCAGGCCTATCTGCGGGCGATGATCGCGACCGCGCCCAACCCCCGCGGCTCGGTCCGCGTTGCGGTCGATGTCGATCCGCAGAGTTTTCTGTGAGGGCCCGAGTTGCCCCGTTTCCCGCTAGCGAATCGACCGGCTTCGCGAATCGTATCCGCCCCAAACGGTCGTCGTTGTGTTCCCGTCCGCGGTCACATCGAAGCGATAGCTCGATACGGTGTTGCCCGTGGTGTTGCAGGGTGGCAGAAACCGGTGATTGACCACCGTGGTTCCGGACCCGTCCGACGTGACGCGGGTGCGACGATGTTCAAATGTCGTCCCATTGCTGATCTGATCCCACATCCTGATCCGGATCGGCACGCCGGCAACGGGCGAGTGCCGGATCGTCAGTGTCGGCGGCGCTCCCCGACCGCCCAGACGCGTGCAGATATTGTCGAGGGTCAATGGCGAGACGGAAACCGAATTGACCTGGAAATCGACGGCAGTGGAGGCAATCTCGGCAGATGTGTCAGCGGTTTGCGTACAGCCCGTGACGGCCGCCATTGCGACAGTTGCACCGATAATAGTTGTAATTCTCATGAAAATCCCCCTATCGTTTCAAGAATTGCGTATTTTGAATATGTTGTGACAGAAATTTCTATTCTTGTAAATTCATCCAAAGTATCAAATTACAATGCGATGACAATCCAATGCGAATGTTTGCTTCGGGTCGGGCGATAAGGGGCGCCGTCCGAACACCTTTGACGGCGTTGATCGCCGCCACACCCAGCCCGCGTGGATCGGTCCGCGTGGCGGTCGATGTCGATCCGCAGAGTTTCCTTTGACGTATCTTGCCAGTGCCGCATCTTCGCGGTCTTCCCGAAAGGCTTTCCATGCTCTCCATCATCCCTCCGCAAACCCTTGGCGAATGGCTGGCCTGGTCCTCGGCCCTGATCACGATCGTCTTCGGACTGATCTGTTTCTTTGCGCCGCGCACGACCTACCGCATCCTGCGCCTTGAGACCCGTCCGGACGTGCCCGAGGCCGTTTCAGAAAGCCGGGCGACGATGGCCGGCTTTTATCTGGGCGCCGGCATTCTGGCGATTTTGTTCCAGCAGCCCTTCGTCTGGATGGTGTTGGGTGCCGGCTGGGCATTCACGGCGCTGGGGCGGCTGGTTTCGATCGTTGTCGACCGCGGCAACACCAGCTTCAACTGGGGCTCGCTCGTCTTCGAGGCTGCGTTGGCGACCGCGCCGCTTGCCTTTGCACTAGGCTACATTCGATAGCGCCGGTCATCCGCGCCATTTGTCCTGCGACAAAAGGGTGAGTGCGCCGTCTTGCACCGCAATAGGGGCTATGCTAGACGGCCCTGAAATGGCTGCCGGAGACAGCAACAGCTTTCGTGCGGCCATAAAAAATAAAGTCAAATCAATGTGTTAGATCGCCAATCAAACGCGAGATTACACATTCCGAACTTCAGGGACGTATCAAGCGGTGGCCAGTTCAACTTCCACGACCTCCGTTGCTGCCCGCTATGCCCGCTCGCTGTATGAGCTTGCCGCCGAAGCCAAGTCCGTCGAGGCGGTCGAAGAGGCGCTTGGCGCGTTCGAGGCGATGATCGGCGAGAGCGAAGATCTCAAGCGCCTGGTCGAAAGTCCGGTCTTTTCGGCCGATGAGCAGGCCGCGGCGATTGACGCCATCGTCGCAAAGGCTGGCCTGCCGGATCTGGCGTCGAACTTTCTTGGTGTCGTGGCGCGAAACCGGCGTCTTTTCGCGGTGCCGGCGATGATCGCCGCCTACCGCGATATCGCGGCGCGCGAGCGCGGCGAGGTGACGGCAGAGGTCACCACCGCGGCCGAACTGAACGCGACGCAGGAAAAACAATTGAAGGCGGCCTTGAAAGAGGTGGCCGGCAAGGACGTGACCCTCCATGTGACCGTCGACCCGTCCATTTTGGGCGGACTGATCGTCAAGCTGGGCTCGCGCCAGATCGACACGTCGTTGAAGACGAAACTCTCCTCACTCAAGCTTGCACTCAAAGAGGTCGGCTGATGGACATCCGTGCCGCGGAAATTTCCGCAATTCTCAAAGACCAGATCAAGAATTTCGGCCAGGAGGCCGAGGTTTCCGAAATCGGACAGGTTCTGTCCGTCGGTGACGGCATCGCCCGCATCTACGGCCTCGACAATGTCCAGGCCGGCGAGATGGTCGAATTCCCCGGCGGCATTCGCGGCATGGCGCTCAACCTTGAAAGCGACAATGTCGGCGCCGTGATCTTCGGCAATGACCGCGACATCAAGGAAGGCGACACGGTCAAGCGGACCGGCGCCATCGTCGACGTGCCGGTTGGCATGGAACTGCTCGGCCGTGTGATCGATCCGCTCGGCAACCCGATCGACGGCAAGGGCCCGATCAAGGCCAAGGCGCGCAGCCGCGTCGATGTCAAGGCGCCGGGCATCATCCCGCGCAAATCGGTGCACGAGCCGATGTCCACCGGCCTGAAGGCCATCGATGCGCTGATCCCGGTCGGCCGGGGCCAGCGCGAGCTGGTCATCGGCGACCGCCAGACCGGCAAGACCGCGATCCTGCTCGACACGTTCCTCAACCAGAAGCCGATCCACGACAACGGGCCGGAAAACGAAAAGCTCTACTGCGTCTATGTCGCTGTCGGCCAGAAGCGTTCGACCGTTGCGCAGTTCGTCAAAGTGCTCGAAGAGCGCGGTGCCCTCGACTATTCGATCATCGTCGCCGCCACGGCCTCCGACCCGGCGCCGCTTCAGTATCTGGCGCCGTTTGCCGGCTGCACGATCGGCGAATATTTCCGCGACAATGGCATGCATGCCCTGATCGGGTATGACGATCTGTCCAAGCAGGCGGTGGCCTATCGCCAGATGTCGCTGCTGCTGCGCCGTCCGCCGGGCCGCGAAGCTTTCCCGGGCGACGTGTTCTATTTGCACTCCCGCCTGCTCGAGCGCGCGGCGAAGATGAACGAGGACAATGGCGCCGGTTCGCTGACCGCGCTGCCGGTCATCGAGACGCAGGGCAATGACGTGTCCGCGTTCATTCCGACCAACGTGATCTCGATCACCGACGGCCAGATCTTCCTTGAGACGGATCTGTTCTTCCAGGGCATCCGGCCGGCCGTCAATGTCGGCCTGTCCGTCTCGCGCGTCGGCTCCTCGGCCCAGATCAAGGCGATGAAACAGGTCGCCGGTTCGATCAAGGGCGAGCTTGCGCAGTATCGCGAAATGGCCGCGTTCGCGCAGTTCGGCTCGGACCTCGATGCCTCCACGCAGCGCCTCCTCAACCGTGGCGCGCGGCTGACCGAACTGCTCAAGCAGCCGCAATTCTCGCCGCTGAAGACCGAGGAACAGGTTGCGGTCATCTTCGCCGGCGTGAACGGCTATCTCGACGAACTGCCTGTCGACAAGGTCGGCGCGTTTGAAGAGGGCTTGCTGACGCACATGCGCGGCGAGGGCAAGGCCGTGCTCGATGCGATCCGCAGCGAGCAGAAGCTGACCGACGAGATCGAGGAAAAGCTCAAGGCGAACATCGACGCATTCTCCAAGAGCTTCTCGTAAACCGGCGGGCAATGCCGAGTGCGCAAAGGGTTTGACCGATGCCTTCATTGAAGGATCTCCGCAACCGGATCTCCTCCGTCAAGGCGACGCAGAAGATCACCAAGGCGATGCAGATGGTCGCCGCGGCAAAGCTGCGCCGCGCGCAGGAAGCGGCCGAGGCCGCGCGTCCCTATTCGCAGCGCATGGGCGCCGTTCTGGCCAATCTCGCCGCATCCGTCGATGGCGATGACGCGCCGCGCCTGATGGCCGGGACCGGCAAGGACGACACCCACCTTCTGGTCTGCTGCACGGCAGAACGCGGTCTGTGCGGCGGCTTCAACTCGTCGATCGCCAAGAAGGTGCGCGAAGATGCGCGCCGGCTTCAGGGCGAGGGCAAGGACATCAAGATCCTGTGCGTCGGCAAGAAGGGCTTCGATATCCTCAAGCGGGATTTCGCGTCGCTGATCATCGACCGGATAGACCTGCGCGAGGTCAAGCATCTGGCCTTCAGCGATGCCGATGCGATCGGCAAGAAGGTGATCGCGCTTTTCGAAGAGGGCGCGTTCGACGTCTGCACGCTCTATTACTCGGAATTCAAGTCGGTGATCAGCCAGATCCCGACCGGCCAGCAGCTGATTCCGGCGGCCGACGAAACGACGTCCGCCGACGAAGACAACGGGTCCATATATGAATATGAGCCCGATGCCGGCGCGATTCTGGACGATCTGGTGCCGCGCAACATTTCGGTTCAGATTTTCCGGGCGCTTCTGGAAAACGCGGCTTCCGAGCAGGGCGCGCGGATGAGCGCGATGGACAATGCGACCCGCAATGCGGGCGAGATGATCGACAAGTTGACGCTGAGCTACAACCGCCAGCGCCAAGCGCAGATCACCAAGGAACTCATTGAGATTATTTCGGGCGCCGAAGCGCTCTAGAAAGAAGGGTCGAGACGATGGCAAAAGCAGCCAAGACGAAGGCCGCCAAGGGCGCGGCCGGCAAGATCGAACAGGTGATCGGCGCGGTCGTTGACGTGAAGTTCGACGGCGAGTTGCCGCCGATCCTGAACGCGCTCGAGACGGAGAATCTGGGCCAGCGGCTGGTGCTCGAAGTGGCGCAGCATCTTGGCGAGAGCATTGTGCGCTGCATCGCCATGGACTCCACCGAGGGCCTGGTGCGCGGCCAGGCGGTCAACGACACCGGGTCGCCGATCGCGGTTCCGGTCGGCCCGCAGCTCCTGGGCCGCATCATCAATGTGGTCGGCGAACCGATCGATGAGGCCGGTAAAGTCGAGGGTGAGGAAGTGCGCGGCATTCACCAGCCGGCGCCCGAATATGTCGACCAGTCGACCGAAGCCGAAATCCTCGTCACCGGCATCAAGGTCCTCGATCTTCTGGCGCCTTACGCCAAGGGCGGAAAGATCGGCCTGTTCGGCGGTGCCGGCGTTGGCAAGACCGTTCTGATCCAGGAACTGATCAACAACGTCGCAAAGGCCCATGGCGGCTATTCGGTGTTTGCCGGTGTCGGCGAACGCACGCGCGAGGGCAACGACCTTTATCACGAATTCATCGAATCGGGCGTCAACAAGGAAGGCGGCGGCGAGGGCTCGAAGGCCGCGCTCGTCTTCGGCCAGATGAACGAACCGCCCGGCGCGCGCGCGCGTCGGCCTGACCGGTCTGACGATCGCCGAATATTTCCGTGACGAGGGCCAGGACGTTCTGTTCTTCGTCGACAACATCTTCCGCTTTACGCAGGCGGGTTCGGAAGTTTCGGCGCTTCTGGGCCGCATTCCCTCGGCGGTGGGCTATCAGCCGACGCTGGCCACCGACATGGGTGCCCTCCAGGAGCGCATCACGACCACGACCAAGGGGTCGATCACCTCGGTGCAGGCCATCTATGTGCCGGCCGACGACCTGACCGACCCGGCGCCGGCCACCTCGTTTGCCCACCTTGACGCGACGACCGTGCTCAACCGCGCCATCTCGGAAAAGGGCATCTACCCCGCCGTGGACCCGCTCGATTCCACCTCGCGCATGCTTGATCCGATGATCGTCGGCGAGGAGCATTATCGGGTGGCCCGCGCAGTGCAGGAAACGCTTCAGCGTTACAAGTCGCTGCAGGACATCATCGCGATCCTGGGCATGGACGAACTGTCCGAAGAGGACAAGCTGACCGTCGCTCGCGCCCGCAAGGTCGAGCGCTTCCTGTCGCAACCCTTTTTCGTCGCCGAAGTCTTCACCGGTTCGCCGGGCAAGCTGGTCGACCTCGCCGACACGATCAAAGGCTTCAAGGGCCTTGTCGAAGGCGAATACGATCATCTGCCGGAAGCCGCCTTCTACATGGTCGGCACGATCGACGAAGCGGTGGAAAAGGCACAAAAGCTGGCGGCCGAAGCCGCTTGATGGCACAATGATAGCGGGCCGCCCGGCATGCTGGCGGCGCCTGGGAGGGCCGAGAGATGAATTTCAACCTGATTGCGCAGCTCACGTTTGCCGGCGCATTGATCGGATTCCTGATCGGGCCGAACTCGCTTGACGAATTCATCGGCATCATCCCGAACAATCCGGTGCCGATGAACATTTTCGGCGGTGCGTTGATCGGCGCTGCGCTTGGCGTTCTGGGCTCGCTGACCAAAGAGATTGAGTAAAAGATGGCCGACGGTTTCAATTTCGAACTGGTTTCGCCCGAGCAATTGCTGGTTTCCACCGAGGTTTCCCAGGTGGTGGTGC